GATTTAAGGTATCATGAGGACGATTCCTCCAGACGTTTCACTTTCCTAGCTTCTTCTTTATCAAGACTTGGCCATATATACTATATAGATAGACACTGAGTCTCGCACATCCGCTTCATAGTCATTTCAAACTAGGTTTTATCCAAATCATTCGACTAAATTAATTGAAAATCTTTGCTCCCATTTCTTCGTTTGGTGCATTTATTTTTGGATCACCACTCTGTCAGCGTAAATACTTGATATTATATTTTTGGTATTTAATATTTAGCGTTTAATTTAGTTAGATATTGAGATATTGAGTTTGCCATTTGACTTTCATGGTGGCAGTTCAAAGGTTTTAGGCCTTTTGTTACAATATGTATTTTCTGTGATTAGCAATATACAGTATAAAACCCCGATTTACCGCGGCTGTAACCTTATTATAAAACTCAGCAGGATATCGTAGTTTTGCTGTAGTCTTTGCTTAAGTTAGCAAATATTCTTTCCGCATTCATTGAAGTCCTGTTAATGAATTGATCATTAACCAGGCGACAGTTTTTAGGGTGGAACTATTCAAACCATGCGTAAAGGTATTCGAATTACTAAGTGAGATACTGCATCTATAATAATCTCCTTAGTCCTTTCTAATTTCCAAAATATGTGATCATCAGTCGTAATCACCAACGGAATCTGCTTTCTGAGGAAATCGATTCTGAGGATTAATTTAAATTAATAACTGCCGCAATTGTTATAATATTTTGAAATAGTAAAATGAGCAGCATAGTACTCCATCATAGTTATATCCCATATCCATAGGACACACCAATTTAGACGAATTAACCTTTCGAATTATTGTTACCATGAATAGTTCAACCATGTATGGACCAATAGTGTATGGAAATTATAAATGCGGTATCTCACTCAGATTAAACAAATTCAATCTGAGCGAGATGCCGCCTTTATAATTTCCATACAATATTGGTTCATGCAATTACAAACGATTTGTATTGCTTTCAAGTCTTTACTATAATTTAACCGCCGGCCATCAACAAGGTTTAATTTGCCGGTCGGTCAAAGCCTGCTAAACTTCTGGCTGGTAAACTTTGGGTAATTTTTATTCTTTCATGCTAGGATTACTGTGAGATCAGTCTTTTAAAGGTTGAAATATACAAACACGCCCATATTATGGTTTGCCCATGATGATAAAGGGATGATAAAGGGATGATAAAGGGATGATAAAGGGATGATAAAGGGATGATAAAGGGATGATAAAGGGATGATAAAGGGATGATAAAGGGATGATAAAGGGATGATTCTTTTGTCCTTTATATTGCTCCGACTAAGGTCCAATACGTGTGTTCCTAAAACACATCGATACTATATTACTTAAACCTAAACCAAACCTCAAACATTGTCTATTTGAAACAGCAATGAGAAATACCAAACAAGACATACTTTTAGTCCCTCACACGAAAACAAAAGCAGCCAACTATTATAATTAGCAGGTAATACTAACTAGTAATCACTGGAGAACCTAATACAAAGATTTTAAATACTGACAATTCAGCTGTTGTTCCGCCAGGTGTCCCACTCAGAAAGACACCGGAACTTACCACAGACCGGTGTGTCGTGTTGTTGGTATTCTTTGTGGCTTATAAAGGTCCTTTGTGGAGAGCTGTCATTGACTGTTCTCTTTACTCCTCCTCTTTACTCAGCTTCTCCCCAGACATTTTCGTCTTTTCACGCGGTGTAAACCTGTTGACCCGTTAATTAAACTTGTGGTCACTATTCAGAGCGTATCTCGTGTTGCTACTGGTTCAGAGCTATAGAAATGCTGTATCTGCTATATTAACTGTCAGATATCATTTTGTTCCTTTGTATATATTGGGTATTTTGTTGCTGAGTATTTTGTCACTTTGTGTCCCAGTTTATGACACCTCATTTCAGTGTAATTATTTTATTCTTCTTTGTCGTACTGGGAGACTTGTACTTGTCTGATACAGGCGAGAAGCCATGTTGAAACACTGTTGTGTGGCGGTTTGTTAAGTTGCGACCCAGTGGTGTAACGTCATTATTTATCCCTCTCCCCTCACAATCTAATCCCCTCTACTATATACTCAAAGTTTCGCGACCTTTCGCTTTCGCTTTCGCTTTCGCTTTCGCCTATTTTATGGCGCTCCTGACACTTGACAGTGTTTTGGCACTTCCATTATCACTTTGTCAAACGAATGTCATGAGAGGAAATTGTAGTGGGCCCTCCCCAAATCATGACAGTCGTGAATACTATTATTTCATTTATATTTCTCGTCACCCTCCGGTAGAAACAGTTCAATATGATTTGCCTTTTTTCCACGGAATTGTGGCAGTCCCCGGCTACTCCTGCAGTAGTGGGCGGTAATGCTATTATTTATATGCGATTCTGTGTTTCCTGAATACGCTCTCAGTGCAGCAGAGTTATATGGAACATTGAGTTTTTACGTTAACGTTTTGTTGCAATACACTACACACGGCTAGCTGTACTGCAACATTTGCCGTTTGGAATTTAATTTGGTTGTGAACATGAGGCAGCAGCTGCACCATGTTTTGTCGCATCACACTTACTTTTGTGTTACACCTATTTCGCGTCGTCACATGCTCACTATAACGAATGTTTGCACCTTTTCATTCTCCCTCTCTCCATCATCTACCTGCGTGGTTGGGGAGATAATAAGTTATTATCTCCACTAACAGATCATCAGCTCGTTTATAGTTCAAACAGTTCATTTTCCTGCCCTGGTTACCGTTAAAGGATGCTGTGTACACACATATTTCATTTTTCTTCCATTATAAAGTTGAAATATGATCATGTATTGGAGTTTGTATCATGGTTACTGTCTCGTTCACCTTGATCGAATGAATTGTTCAACAGTATCAAGGTCCTATGAGTTATTAAGATGATGGCATGATCGGGGTGTTTCTTTAGATTAAATACCGTCACGCACAATAAGGTGGCCCTAACTAATTGCCCGTTAGCACCCCAATAACGGTCAGGAAGCCATCCACTGGGGCCTTTTTATGGTTTTGTGAGAGCTTGAGTAGCTCAATTTCAAGCGACCACCATCATTGCAGCTATTCTTGTCGTTCGCCTGGGGTGATACTACTGTTGTGTGACTTAGGACCTTTTGAGATCTTTCACTTTTGGGGCAGCATAATATTCAAAACAGAGATAAACTGCTAGTGACAGTGCATAATGATTGTGAAAGCGTTCTAGAGAACATTATAGCTCGCACAGGGTTGTCAGCTTTGACATACTTTTTTGTGGCCACTCTTGTTGGTCGATTGAGTTTTTGTAAAACTTCTAATGATATTCATGAACGAACGCAACTCGGACAACTGCACGATTTGGTACGATCCTTGATTAATATTAAGAAAGCCATACATCACGACTTGGTAAATATAATATACCAGCTATTTTCTATTGGGTGGTATTTTCTTTTCTTTGTTTCGAGGCGGGCTAATTCAGTATATTAAATGATATTTCTTCTTCTCTGTTGATTTATCGTTCTTCAAAAGTAGAATATTTTATGTGCGATTAATTAATTATAGTACGGTATGTACTCATACCTTCAGATCTTGCAGGTTTCGCGGAGAATTTATTGTATAAAGGAATTCCAAGGCCAACTCACTACAGCTGCAGCTGTCAAAAATTGTGAATCGGTTGAATTTTACAAAACTTTGTATTGTCAACGTTATATTATACTTTTACATTTGAACAGGTATTGTAAAACTAACGCAAAAATTGTGAATCGGTTGAATTTTACAAAACTTTGTATTGTCAACGTTATATTATACTTTTACATTTCAACAGGTATTGTAAAACTAACGCAAAACCCCACTTTGAGCCGAGTTGTCGAATTGCAAGTAAACCAATGACGATAGTTTTTAACCATTTCTGTCTCTCTCTCTCTCTCTAGCTAACACCACATATCAGCTGGCCTCCTTATGACTGTCTGCTTGTGTGCTGTATGTGCAGCATATTTGGTGTGTTGTACTTATTATCCAATTAACTAAAATTCCTGCTTCAATCCAGCTCGATTTGGACGTTGTAACCAACAGGTTCTGAAAACTTCTGAACTTTTCCTTTAGATCGTTTTGTTTAACTCCGATCAGTCTAATTGTAGTTGCTAAAGTGAAAATTCCGTCCATTTATAGTCTAGTCATCAGTGAGTAATGTTAACGGAGGAGATCTGAAGAAAGAGTCTAATTAGAGATGCAAGCTCTTTTGTCGCCCCACACAAAGTGACCAACTCGTGATATTTATTACTCACCTGATCTAACAGTCCGAGCTCTTTTAGTTTTTGCGCCTCTCTTAGTTTTCTACCCCATGTGGCAGTATGCCCCATGAAACTTCAGTACACTAAACACCTGACCAAGTGTCAGCATTACCATTGGTCTGCTCTTCTCACGTGACCAAAGTTGCTTTGTACCACTGGTCAGCTCTGATCCGGTCTCCTGTCACGTGGGTGACCTTTGTGAGGAGCACTTAAAGTATATGTCCTTTTGATGATATATCTGTAACGGCATAGCTCAATTGTCAAGTTTGCTACAGCCGCTCTGTGTTGAAGTATTAAGATATCGTGGCTCAATCATTCTTGAGTTTCTCAGAGTTCCTGCTACAACAACGTTTAATTGATTAGTTAATTGCCGACTGTTATAATGTTCAGAATAACACCTCATTTTTATAACAGTATTACATTTATAATATCAATTTTACCACATTTTCGACATATCATCACTGTTCTATTGTTCGACTGACAAAAAGAGTTTTACATTTCAAAGTTCCGTTATTAAGCCCGTTGTTATAACCTACCAGATAGAATATTTCTTTGTAAGAAATACTTACGACCCTTCTCCATTTTCGATTAAAACTCTTTGATACCGATTTTGTTCGACAATTATCGGTTATTAGGACCTGACTCCAATCTAACTATATATAAAATAGCTTTACATTCAGCGATTTAAACTCACGGTTATATTCCCATAGGTACGATGGAACCAGAATGATGTAGTTGAAGTCAAGTTTGCCCTAAAATGGAGAGCCAGGCTGACCACCATCTGGACGCAGACGCGAGTATGGGCCGAGTCTCCGCCCGAGCCGTCCTCACTTCTATACGCACTACTCAACCACCCTCCAGCTCCAGAGTACTGCCCCACGCTTTCCCCAACTCTTCAGACTCCACCATCACCACTCCCAGCCTCTCCCAAACCAGCTCCCCCAATAATTTCAGAACGGCCCCCAGCAGCCCGCCTAAAGTCGACACTATACCAGATTCACCCCGCGTATTACCGCTTCCTCCCGCGAGGAAAAAACATCTAGAAGAAACTTCTGGAATATCGGATGATCGGACTGCTACGGCTCTGTCAAGTGATGACGGTGAGCCTCTCAGAGGGAACAAAACTCCGGATAGTTATCTAGGTGACCCACCCTCGTTCTCTTCGTTAAACATTTCAGAAAACAAGAATAGTTCCCCACCTTTTTCTGCGTTATCCTTGAAAATCTGCATGGATAAAAACCATCCACTCGAATCAAACACTCTCCCTGATAATAATGATCTTGGTCATAAGAAAGTGGAGAGGACTCGCCACAAGGTGCCCCAATATCAGGACTATGATGATGTGACAGAAATAGTCAAACCCGATATCAAACTAGTATCGCCAAGCCCTACTGACGAAACGCCCCAGGATCAAGAAATCAATCTGAAGGGTAAACGTGAAGACAAAATCCCGTTAACCAAAATCAGCAGTTCAATCCGATCTTCAATAAAATCGAAGCTAAGTGGAGAAAAACAAGCAGAAGGCGGTGCAGATGGGCCGGAAAAAGAGGGGATAAAACGTAAGCTAAGCGGTAAACCGAGCAGTAGACTGAGTGTAGAGCACCAACTACTGGGGGTCAGCAGTTCCACCATCAGCAACTGTACTGATCCCAACGAGAACGATTGTATCACTGTTAACGAGGCTATCCAGAAGGCAGGTTTGGGCAGGTACCATGCTCTGCCCTTTCTTGCTGCTGCTATGATTATTGTCCTCAAGTGCTTTTTGGACGGTGTCCCTGACAACTTCGTGTCCATGTTTCAGTGTGTGTGAGTACTTTTTTACTTCTTATCTTTTACTTTTTGTTTTCCAGCCCACTATAGCATTAGCACTTCTATGATTGCAGAATGCATGGTTAAGAGTGTTAGAGGATTGCAACGTACTGTTTAAGATTATAAACATTTCAATCATATTATGCACATTGTAACATTATGTTTGATTTTCTATCTATATTGTTACCATATTATATAACTCTAGGGGTTTGACTTTTTTCTGTCCCAGGTTTGAAATGGATACCCAGTTACTAGTCCTGCTAGGATTCATCGGATCCGTGTTAGGAGCTCCGATAGGTGGTAAGTCGGATTTTAAAATAGAAGCTCTTTCTGAAACCCTGGGTGTGCTTCAATCATTCGAAATAAAGTGCTAGTTATATCCTAGTTTCGAATATATGTTTCCAAACTAATGGACGAAACAATCATGTTTAATAAATAAAAGGTTTCATGGAATCTAATTTCAAGCACCCAAACTTTTCAAATAAGCGGTACCTTACATTTTTCCAAATATTCGACATTACATTCAACAAATTAAGCGACAATTCTTTTCTCTCCAGGAGCCCTAGCGGACAGATTTGGTCGACGTCTTATCATAGGATTGGGACTGATAGCCCTTGTTATTAGCTCAGCTGTGATAACCGGAGCTCCTAACGAGGCCGTCCTCACCACCTTCTACGTCATCTTCTCCATGCTCATCAGTGCTATTCATCCTGTAAGTCACGGGTATTTTAACTGTTCTAATGTCTACTTAGTCTGTAGCATATAGTGACGTCAGTAATGTCAAACCCATCTAATTGAGCACTAACTTATATTTTACTCCACGTTATTAATGACTGATATAACTTTATTGTACCCTGCAGATAATGCTGGTGTACGTGATGGAGCTGTCTCCCACCAAGACACGGTACATTACTCTGACACTGTGTTTTGTCTGCTACTCCGCCGTCTCCTTCATCACCCCTCTCGTTATCATGCCTCTCTACACTCAGTCCAAGGTTAGCTTTTAGATCAGTTCCGGGGAAAATATGATCCGAAAAACAGATGGTTCGAAAAACAGATTTATAAGGTTTATTGAATTAACTGGGAAAGCAGAAATAGGTAATATATGTATATATAATGGTGCAAGGTAGTTCAACTTAGCTCAGACACGTGATATACAACTTTAAAATAATCCATAATTGTGAAAATAACACTCAATAAAACATAAAGCTAAGATAATCAATCTCACTAGGACGAGGATTTCAAGGGTGGTGATAACTGGAGGATATCGTGGGGTGTGCTGATGGTGCCGATAATTGGTTGTATTGTCTTATTGTTCTTCTCGCCTGAGTCTCCTCGATACAACGCTGCTAAAGGTTTGCTTTTCTTTAATATTAACTTATTTTCCTTTATAAAGAATAAGAAATAGTTGGCAGTTTAATTGCTGTTGTATAATCTGTACAGTTCAATTTGTTATCACTTATCACAAGTCACCACCTAGCTTTTTTTTCGAAACTCGCTGCTTCTCCTGTTGCATTATTTTTCACTCTGAATACTTTACTGAACTAGTTATGTAACTTAATAAATCTGACAAGTGAGTTATAACTGGGGTGTTCAAGTAAGATACCATATAGTTGATTTAATATCTAATTCAACACATGGAAACCTCACGTGCGTTTCTATTTATTAATAGCGTCAAATATGATTACTAAGATATCGACGACTCGCTGACACGTGACCTTACTCCTAACACCTTTACAGCTTTACTCCTAACTTATTTACTCCTGACTTATTTACTTCTAACACCCCAACAAACAGGAAAATCAAAAGAAGCTCAAACGACCGTGTTCCAGATGCTGAAAACCAACCTCGGAGACAAGTTGAGGCTATCTCTTTCAACTCTGGAGCTCTCCTCTAACTCTGATCCAACTATTGCCGGGATCAGTCTAGCTAAACTCTTTTATCGGCCAATTCAAGGGTAATTAACAATTGGATTGACACGATTAGATGAACTGCGATCAACTTTGGAATCAGATAAACTGATTTCCGCTAATACCACTTATCCTACATACATTAAATTGCTGGTTCATTTGGTATCCAGAAATGCTTTAATTGCACACAAAACCAAGTCTACTACACCCTGCTACTGGAGTCTAGCCACTAGTTAAATACCTCAGTGTACAGTGCTAAACCCTGCATTTTGATTTGATTAGGAGCTAATAACCATGGGTTTGTTATTTGTTAGGATCACGTGTTATATTTGAGGACATATAAAAGTGCCTAATTCCTGAAATTTGCAGCACCACGATCCTGTTGACAGCATTCCTTTTTGTATGTAACGTGCAGTACTTTGCGTCTCATGTCCTCACAGAGGAGATGCTCACTAATCGGTGCAGCTGTGGGGTCGACATCACCTCTAAAGGTCAAATCACGAAACTTTCAACAGGATTATTATCATATTTTATGTGCATAATTACCTTTTATTATCAATTTAAACACAATTCGGGACAGCCTGTTTCTACAGTAGTTTCCCAAACCCAACTAAATCTATCCCCAACTAGACGGCTTCCTGTAAACCTTACAACCCACAGAAGCACCGTGGGCAGAGAACCAGTGGTGCGACAGCGACACCGTGCAGTGTAACCCTGACGACGATAAGGACCGGACTTGCTGCTACAAGAATATGTGCCAAAGTATCGAGGACATGACGGAGGATTACGACATTACGGAGTGCCCGAAAAACAGCACGTATCCGTGTAGGAGCGTCCACCACACCCAGTACAGTTCAGGAGGCGACGGTTAGTTTGAATTTTATATACATGTTTAATAATTCATTTCTTTTTGGTAGCTTTTTTTTTCATGCACCAATTCTTTGACACATTAGCAAAATAGGATGTTGAAAAGGTCGACAGGATTGTTGTGCTAATTATTATCAAATAATTTATTTTTAAAAATACAACATTACAAACTGCGTCTTACAATTTTTAAAAGCTTAGAAAATTGAAAAGACTATTCAACTCCGGGCTGTGGGAGAGGCGCACTTTATAAATTAGGAATACCAGCTTCTAAACTCTGGAGCCAGACACACACGTGTTTATGCAGACAGTCCCCGTAGTCAGAACAAATGACAATGTTAGGGGGACACGTTCACTTTACGATCTGCTCTTCACAGAGCCCACATGTGTTTTTACAGTTCTTAGTCATGTATCTGTAATACTTGCTACTTTTCTGGCAATGATCGTCGAGCTTCTTGCAGTATTTCTCCGATTTCAAGTTCCTGCATTCCTCATCGATCTCCTTCTCTTCTTTTTCCTCCTGCTTGTCAAACTGTGGAGGGTTGCAGTCTCCAGTACATTCCATGATCGGACGGTAGATGTGATCGGAGATCCTACAGTTGTTGGGTACTTCTCTGGACATCCTGATGTAGCCTTCATCTCCCCAAAGTCTGCCCCAACTGTTTCTCACTCTCCAGTAGTTCTGACCCTCAGTGTTTCCGTATCCTACCACTGAGACTGCGTGGTTTGGTTGTTCATCCTTGCACCCAATGACGTCCTGGTAAATTCCGCTATTGTACGCGCGGAAGGATTTTCCAACATATAAAACCACGGACACAATACCTTTGTTAAGACCTGAGATCAGTCCTGAGTCTCCCTTGTAGGTCTGGTATCCGGTAACTCTAGCTTTTGTGAGAGAGTTAGCAATTCTGGAGTACGAACAAGTGCCGTCCTTTCTGTTGTAAACTTTGTCTTCACTGCTGGCGAGGCGGCGGGATTGTTGGACGTACTTGATAGGCTTACTCAACCATCCTCCCTGACACCCGTCCTTACCACTCTTTTCTTCGTAAGTACAATCGAGAAGCTCCTGTTCGGCGAAGGAAATCATGTCCCCGGTGGTTTGGAAATAAGCACTTTCGATAGCAGAGTTTGCGCCAAATGCCCAACAACTGCCACAACCTCCCTGGTCTTTCGTCGGAGGGTTCGCACCTCTGGACACCCAGTCAACGAACGTTGGCTGAGCGCTAGCCGGAAGGGATGATTCATAAGAAAAGTACATCTCCGTCTCCTCGTATGAAAACTCGGAGATGTTCAGACCAGTGTACTGCCTCTGTTCTGCCTCGGTCATGATACTGAACATGTTCACCTCTGCACTGTAAGGGACACTATCATCCATGTTTATCCGATCAATTTCTGTTTTGTACTGCTTGAAGTTCTGAAACCTCTTTCGTTCTGAAACTCCTCCACGTCGGGTTCCATCGTACTTTTCCATCGTCTCAAAGAAATCATCAACCAGAGAGCCAGTGGCAGCAAAGGAGATAGTGAGAGTGAGCAGGAGTATGGTCTTCATGATGGTTGTAGCGCTGAGTCGGTTATAGTTTCTGTGAACTGATATTGGAGGGGGTTTCTAATTTTTATACTATAACTGGGATACGGTGTGAAGTGTCTGTTCTATTGTTTATTCTACTAATGAGGGCTGTTTGTTGGGTCATTAGATTCGAATAACTTGTTCTTATTGTTTGGCACCTTGAACTATTAGTTTTTTTGGCTCATTACGCTCATAAATTAAAAGCTTATCAAGTGCAGTTAACAAATGAGATGATCTAAGGAATTAACAACAATATAAAATGTTGATCAAATTGCTAAATGAGTTATGGTTATCGTAAACACAATACGAACAGTGGAGACAAGTGGGCACGGACTTCCGTGCATAATTTCTCACTTCGATCATTTAAAACTACTATTTAATTTTCTGATAAAATGTTGGTCACAGTAACTCCCCAATTTCGACTCAAACGACTCCCCAGAGCACTGCAAGAGTGAGAACGTCTCCAAATACTACATCTTCAACGCAGTACGGAACGTCCTGTACGTGATCGGGTTCGCTATCGGCATACTTCTCGCTCAGTACACGTCCCGTAAAGATGCCTTTATTCACCTGGCTTTCTACATCACTTTTATTAACGGTGAGCGATTATGTTTCTGTCTTACGTCCTCACTTTTTTATTCTTTAATGGAATATGAAACTTATTTAAGTATTTAGTATGCCATTACGTCTAAGGAAGGGGTAATGTTCTTACCTAGGAATCTATTTATAAAATATTTGTTTAACGACGTCCCTCCGACAGGATTATTGTTTGCTGTGTGCAGGTTCCTGCGAGGCACTACTTTTCTCATATTCGTTACCTCACTCGGTTTTAATACAGTTATTGGAGCTGTTTATTCCCTTTCTTGGCTCTACATGGTATGTATATTATACTTTCACGTGATCCTTGCTATTGTTCATGACACGTCACAATATATAACCTTCTACTCCAAACTTCAGTAACCATGACTACGAAAATTCAGATCCCTTCCTTGATCAAACTTAAACCAGCTGTGAATATCTTTTCTCCCAGTTGGAGTACTACCCAACCTCTCTGCGTTGTTCAGGAGTAGGCTACCTGGCGGGTATGGGACAGCTAGGTAACGGTGTGGGGACACTAATCAGTAAATATACTCTAGAGTACGAGTTAAACGTTAACGGCAGGTAAGAATGAGAGATGGGGGGGGGGGGGGGGGGCAGTAGTTATATTTACATTACTTGTAGCAAATTGACCAGTATGAGGTGGTGAATTGAAACAACGCCACCTCCTCGTCACTATTTGGTGTTATGAACCAGGAGCGGTCTTTGTTTTATGATGTAATGCATGCGCGCATGAAAGTATAAAAAATCTTAATTGAAAAATACGTACTTTATGGACACAACTGTTGACTAAACGTCTCTATTTTCCAGGTTAACAATCCACCTGTTCCTGTCCAATCTATTGACGGTGCTCTCCTTCATGTTGGAACTTGAGACAAAACGACTTCCAATGTCAGACAGAAAGAGAGTGGACTGTTTGGACCACAAACTCAGCACCAAGGCAGCCAATAAAGCACCTAATTGAGTGTGATTTTATTAATTATAATTATAATTTCATTGACTTCCCCCAAGTCAAATATCTAGTGGTCACTCGAAAAGTAAATCTTATATGTTTTAGTATTACTTTTAGGTACCATAACAATATTTATGTCGCATTTAAAATTTATTCTTTGTTCAGAATCATATAGCTTTTCTGACTCAAACCATTGAATTTAATGGTGACCTTTAAATTTGTATAATTATCGGGTTAAACTAAGAACTTGTAGAGGTAATTGTAAATGTTTAATGTTCTACTTTAATAGATATACAACTGCTTGTATAGTTTTCAATGCACAGCCGGAATGTAAGCTGAACCACTTTCATTTTTTAAATTACATCAAATCGGCAAAAATGAAAAACTTGGAATGTTTTCTGCAATTTGTTGAAGTACTGAATTTGTCGTCTTACGCACAAATTATTTCTGAATTCCGAATAATAGCCTGGAATTTATGATAGGCAATGGATTTGAATTTTAACAGATGAGTATTTCATTCGGTATTTGTAATTTTTATTGGATTCTATTTTTACATGACAAAACATGAAGGATTTTACTTTCGCAAATTTCAGGACCAATTCATTTATACCTATCCAATTCAAAGGGGTAACAAGAAGGAGTTACAAGCGTTACACTTACAAGCAGATTTGCCGGCAATAACCACTGGAAGCTTAATCTGACCGAAAGTCTTTATGTTATTACCCGAAAAGGACTTAAGCTTGAGATTACACGACACAACCTTCTCAAATTTATCTATAAATCTGACAAACGATTCAGCAATTATAGAAATAGACGATCCCGTATCCACAAAGAAATTTGCTGATCTACCAGCACAATTTCCTCCAACCAAAATGCAGTTTCCCTTACTGCCACCAATCTCGTTACAATCCTCATAGTAACGTGTGTTTTTGACCGCGGGCGACCTCCTCTTAAATCTAGGGCCGCCCTTCAGAAGTTTAAAGGCGCCTGATTGTTAGGTCTATACGCTCTGTTCCCGCTCTGTTGGCCATAACCACTCTGATATAAAGACCCTCCGTCTTGATATCTCTCTCTATTACCAGCAAATCTGCTCGGACAGTTTCTCTGAAAATGCCTTCTATCACCACACTCCCAACAACCTTCTAACTGAGGGCGAACGTTACGTGATCCCCGATTATTCGAATTACCCACGTAATTTCGAGCTGGCTGATAACGTGACTGAACAGGCGTGTTTCTACGATCATCATTTCTCATGCCACCCCTAAAACTATTGCTAACTAGATTAGGAGTCCATGAACGGCCAGTGCGCTGGTTAACTTCCGACTGGGAAGGAGGACATTCATGATGATAACTCTCCTGGCTTGTGCTCGTCATCAAGTTGTCACGTGTTTGCCCAGGTGCTGGAACCCTAGCTCTCTGGCCATCTAATCCAGAATTATTAACAGCGAAGATCGTATCCTGGGCCTGAGTGAAACTCCCTGGTTCCCCACTAACAGCTAACGTAATACGCTCAGTATGAATTGCAAGTTTAACTGCTTCTCTATAGGAATGCAACTGGGACTCATAAAGCTTAGTCCTTACAGCTACGTCACGAGCTCCTACAACAAGAACATGCAAACAACTCTCGTCCTTTTGGCCTCGCAGTCATACCCAGCCTTCAAAGCAAGCTCCTCAATGCGTGCAATGAACTGCTGGAGGTTCTCACTAGGTAACTGACGCAACGACATGAGCTCAGTTCTAAAGGCCCAAGATTGAGTAGAAGGAAACATTTCCTCTGAGTATCGCTTAACGAGAAGATCGATATTACATTTCTCTTCCGGCCTGAGAGAGATTTTCTGCAGTGTTTCCCAAGTGGATTCACAACGAATGTATGACAACATGTACGTACTAACATCCGAACCACCACTATGCCCACATAGAATCAAATGCTCCTTGAATCGCCTGGCAAATCTGATGAAATTAGATCCAGTTTCAAAATAAGGAGGCTTGGGAGGCCTGGCACCTGTCAAATGTGGACCAGCTACTGAACTATTCAATGGGGTTATAATACTGTTACCAAAATCATCCTCGGTGTTCGCGTTTCTAAACTGAACCTGCTCGGATTTAATAACAGGATTCATAACGTGCACGTTCTCTTGAAATCTACTGCTAGAACTAGCTGGAGGGGCGTTAGTAACTGTGCTAACTGGTTTAGGCCGTACATTATCAATCTTATCCTGCAGGCATTCTAAAGCTGAATGTAAGTCCTTCAACTTATCTTCTAATTCGGAAATGCTATTGCTATCTGCACCAGAATCTAAACCATCTATCTCCTTCATTATTTCATCTATGCTAGACTGAATCTTACCCCTTTCTAAAATCAACGTCGCCCACTCCATTTCAGCTTCAATACTATCACACATGCTAAAAAGTGAATCTAAATGTAAAAATACACTTACAAATAGAGTAGATAAGTACTGGAACAGGCGTACTCTTCACGTTGCTGGAAAATCTTCTAGTCAAGACTTTACTGTGCTTTACTGGAACTGTAACTTCTACGTCTATCACTCCTGAGTAGATGTACGAAAAGTAAGGTTGCTAAAACTTACGCAAATCTCACTAACAATCTAGGTAATAACGTACTGAAGTCTACAAGCGGCTGTAAACTAGGTGCTCGTCAAAACGATCGCACTCAACTGGAATATACAGGTACCACAAAATGGGTAGCTACACTTACCAAATCTAGTAGGAAGTACTGAAAGATCTCGAACAATCTCCACGTAATTCTTCTGCACTTCGACGTATACCGAACTTAGCTTATCAAATGAGAAACGTTAGGATCTTAAACGAAACTATACTGAATATAGGTGATACTAGAAGGATCACGAGCAAAAATAGCAACACTAAAAGTGGCCTCCAGATATAGAAAACGGAGTTCTCTTGGTATTTAGTGTATGCTAGTCAAGCTCTAGTCACGAAGCACGAACGGCAGGGCGTACCGTAAGGTAGAAATGAAACGAGTATATTAAAATGGATAATTAATTAAAAGGAAAAGTAATACAAAGTGAACGTCAACAGATAAAACTTCCAAGTGTTCGCTCCAAACAATTGACGTGAATATAGATCACTCGACGTGTCTAATCACAAAAGATAGTGCTCAGTCAGACTGGCTATCGTCAATTAGAATCCCTTAAAAATGATTAAGGGGCAACTAAGAAGTGAGCTCTCCACATCCGGCTCTCCGGGTATACTCTCAAAACTTCGTCACGCCACACTGCGTGACGGCACAACGCATCTGCTTGTACCACGTGACACGCCGTCTCGCCAATGAGCACTCCACTAGCAGTCACGCTGTGGTCGCGAGGACCAACTACAGGCCTGGCTGTAAGTCAGGTGCAAAGTGAGCGGACGGCTCGTTTCAGACAGTTAGTCTGACAGTAGTTCTGCCAGCCAACCGACTTACACTCAAAATGTGTAACTCCCAAATACGAACATATAAAAACATTGGTTATTATATACCCGGAAATACATACTAAATTCTACGTCCCTTAAACGTTATACTAAAACTAAGATATCCTAAAAGATATCTCTAAATACCATATTACAACAGTTACAACTTTACAAGGGTTACATAATACAAAACGTCCATCGCCTCTTTCTTCCATGCTGAGCAAAACCGCCATGTTAAAGTAAAAAAATTTACCCTACCTCCTCACGAGAATTCACATTTATAAATATCCCAATTATGTGTCACTGTCACATAAATGAATACGGACATATGTCGAATACGTTGCCTGTTTTATACGATACCTTTCAGTTAAATCTTCGCCGTTCTTCATCGTTTCAAGTTGTTCTGTTTCACAACCCGATTAGAGCTCTGCCTGAATCTGCTTCTGACATAGTTTATAGTCTATAAATTCTCCACCAAATGCAACGTCGCACAAAAAAAAATCGACTAGTTCTTTTACTTCAACTTGTTAAAGTCCCTCATACCATTATCACTGAATATCTTGCTAGGTTACTGCCGCAATCTTAGAACATTTCCGCTTCACTATAATTATAATACCTGTGAAGTGTGATCAATTCCATATGGTAGTTCACTTTGCATCATCTGATCATTGCATCTCTGCATTGCTCCAATAATAGGGGGATCACTCTAAGATCTACAGCATCTAAACTGTATCAAATCATCATATTACAACGCATGAGTGACGGTTTAGAATGTTCGCTACGAGACAATCAGTGTGGGTTTAGAAAGAACAGATCATGCATTGATCAGATTTATTCACTCCGCATTATTATTTATTATACATAACTGCCTTGAATATAATCTCCCCCTGTATGTAAATTTTGTGGACTTCAAGGCAGCTCTTGATTCTATCGACAGGAATCATATTTAGAAAGCTTTCAGTCATTATGGCCTGCCATGTAAATACATTCGAATTATACAGGCATTCTTTAATGGAACTGTTAGTGCTGTTAGACACAATGGTGAATTGTCAGAATGGTTTGAAGTAAGTTCAGGCAGTGGCCAAGGAGACATTCAGGGTTTCCCTCTTTTTAATGTCTGCCTAAATGTGGCTGCTGAGAGAACAGAAAGCAACAAAGTGGTGTCCCACGGAGCGGTTCTTCAAAGATCTATCAGTCCGCTTGTTGATGATATCACTGTGTTAGATACAGACTATACAGATGACATGGCTGTACTGGATAACAGCGAAGAAGGTCTTCAAGAAACAACTGACCTTTTGTGTATGTATGGTGCCCAGGGAGGTCTCAGAATCAATGGTAAAAAGACTGAGGCTATGGTCATAGGTAAAGCAACCTCTCAACGGCCATACACGAAAGAAGCCACAGTGAACATTACTGTTGAAGACATGCCAGTGCAGCAAGTTATATTAGTGACTTTACGTACTTAGGTACAATTATTTCCAGCGATGGTACTATCAATCGTGAGCTGTCAGCTAGGATTCAGAAAGCTTCCGGAGCCTTCAATCAACTGAGTAATATATGGAAAAACCGCAACATCCAGTCTTATACAAAGATCAGGATTTATAAGGCAGCGGTTTTGACAATATTGTTATATGGTAGTGAGGTTTGGAACACAACCAAAAAGCAGCTACATCGCTTTGAGGTGTTCCATCAGCGTTGCTTGAGGAGAATACTTAGGATAAGATGGCTCGATCGGGTTAGAAACACTGAAGTGCTGGAGCGTGCAAAGATAAATCCAGTAGAGATGTACATAGTCGAGCAAACCACCTGCATTGGTTTGTCACCAGAATGCCAGACACTAGGCTTCCTAGGTACCTGCTTAACTGGACCCCTGCGCATGGGAGGAGATCTAGGGGTCGTCCAAGAAAGAACTGGATGAAATATTTGCTGGAAGATGCTGCAGCGTTTACAGGAAACACTGACATAGACCTAGAAGGAGCGAGTGAGATGGCTAGTGACCGCAAACTTTGGAGGGAGATGATACGTCACAAACGGGAGTTCATTGGTGCAGGCCACTCGAATGATTGAGGAGACCTAATCAAGTAAGTAAGTAAGTTCACTTTGCACCACAAGGTGAGGCTTCAGTGTAACAGAGCATACTATTTAGTAACGAATGTAATTACTAGATTACAGCTGTACTGAGCAATGAACGTGTAAACTACTACTGGTCCTTATCGTTCCTATGGGATAGCAGCTCTTTGTATTTCAATACCCATGATGGTGTCCTGCAGTCCTGAGCTTTGATCGTGTCGTAAATCCTTTTTTTAGTCGTTCCTAAAGGGTGCTGCAGATAACTTTGAAGAAAATTGATCATGTCTCCAATTATACCGCTTTCCGTCCTGACTCCTGGCCTATCATCCGGCAACCTGTATACATAATGAGATTGCAGTACTTGTGGCCACAAAGGGCACATCGAGCATTGCTCGAATACTTCCAGAGCTTAAGGTTGGCTGGCCTATGTAGCTGATCCAGTACAGTGTCAGGAGTAGCTCATCTTCTGAAATTGAGGCTATCAGTTGTTTTAGCCTATCCATCTCTAAGCCCCAGCCCTTTCTATCTGATTGTGCAGACTTACCTGGGGACTCCAGGCTATTATGTTCATAAACATAATAAAGATTCGGCGGAATGACAGGCTGAGCGCCGCCCAGTAAGTGCAGACCTGACAAGTTCTACGAAGTATAAAGCACTCTTTCTTTCCTTCCACTCTCACTTAAGGGGGGGGGGGGGGGGGGGGGGGAGGGGTTCACCCTGATTTTTTCTGTGAAACTTGTTTTCGAGATAGCAGTTGACCAACAAACTAAGACCGGTGACCGAACTTTTGAGGGGGTCCCGGACCCCAACCGCCAAACGGTGCCCGCGGGGCAGCCACGCCCATATTTGGTCCAAATCAGGCCCAATTTAGCCAAATACCCTGAACATGCCCAAAACCCAGATTTTAGGTGCTCTACTTGTAGCTAGTGGTCCCTTGAACTCGTATATGAATTGTCATCAAGATTGGACAAAAAATGACTGAGTTATGAGCTAAAAACTATATGCCCATATTTGGGCATACGCACTAAATTTGATCGATTTTGGCCCATAAATTGGTCAAATATCAATATTTTTGAATGAAACTAACTTTATATGAAAGGTAAGCCTAAACTACACATCCCCCCCCCCCCCCCCCCTCCTTAAGATTTAAGTTACGTTCAGATAATATAAATATAAATTATAATTTGCAGGCATTTTAGCTTGTTGCGGGACCTAATATAATAAAATAACAACTTTACAATACTGTATACCTTGCCTTAATTATGCTCAAGACCAGCTCGACCCATCCAAAGATCTAATCACAAAAGCTTCCATGAGGGTAATTGTAACATTTTACGTCTTGAATTGTTAGAAAGCTCGGTGTAAAACTAATGCAAATCCTTGTAAGTTATTTGATGTGTTAAACTAAACAATCATCCTCTTATTTCTTAACCATATTAATCTTTATACAAATTCGCAATTTCTGTTGCACGGAGATTGTAATAAGTTTTCTCCACTTTCAATAATCTTACCTTTGATGCATTGTTTTGACCGTAGCAATTATAACCCATCAAATAAGCAACAGTTTTATCCTACTTATAACGGAAATTGTAACTTTCATTGTCTATCGGAGGAATGAGTTTATAAATGATAGTTTCGCTTCTGATAATTCACACGCAAGTTTAATAAATTGCTTCACTAATTATAATAGGTGGCAGGTGCCCGATGTCATTGCTATGACCAGTTTACTGGTCATCTGGTGTTTCGTTGTCCCTGATTTTGCTTACACTAGGTCACTTGATCAAGGCCATATATAATAGGTCTTTCGGCGAATTTTTAATGATACAATTTGAATTATTTATTTTGTGTAATCAATTTGAAAGTTTGTTAATAACAAAATTAGTAATTATTAGTTAGCTACACAAGACACATAGTTACAATACACATAACATGAGTAGACACACCTTGAGGAACACTGCACTAGAATGAGTATGACATTAGTATGAGGTCGAACGCGTGTTATATACACAATTATGTGTACATACAATGTGAGTAGTTCTAGTTTGTGTACCTCTCACAAAGTTGATCGATCATATTCTCTAGAATGCTGGAGTGGGTTACATGATCCCTGTACTTACGATCTGCGTGTACTCACCACTTCACCACAACAGACTGTGATCTCCATTTAGGTTTCAACTATTGTTGCTCACTAAAATAGACGAACATTCGTTTATTGATTTATAGTCGGTTTCAAAATCGGTGCAGTAGTTTAGTTGTTTGATGCAAATGTTTGATGATTGATCTGGTCTGAGGAGGAGATTTTATCTTAGCAGAGCGTGAAGGTTAGCACTTGTTATAAATAGGACGAGTATCAGGTACGTGAGAGAGCTGTACGCTTATCTGAAACTCCGAAAAGCTGTAAAGAACAGTCATATTATGCTCTATTATTATTCCGCTTCTAGACTTATAAAGATTAAAGATACTTGCATTTTGCATTAATCATTAATGGGTATATTACCTATATATTACCTATATTGCCTATATTACCAAATTTTATTAATATATAAGGGTTAAGGTTATGAATATATCACTGAATTTTGGTGAGTGAATCTTGATTAAATTGTCACAATTATGATCAATCAGAACTGTTCATTCTTAATGGGATATGATAATTTATATTAAATGCTATTATTAGTTCGTCTCTTTATAGTTAGACTAAAACCACATAAAGTGACATCCTGCCACACCACGCGTGAACCAATTATTTATCCATTAGTAGTTTATTTATTCATGAGTTTATTTATTTATCAGACCAATCAGAATTGTTCGTTCTTAATGGGATATGATAATTAACATTAAATACTGTTTGTAGTTCGTCTCTTTATACTAAAACCACATTTAAAGTGACATCCTGCCACACCACGTGAACCAATTATTTATCCATTAGTATTTTATTGATTCGTGAGATTTTATGCTTTTTGCATATTATATTGCTTCGCTCCAATCTAACCATTATTCATTACTTTTTGCTTGTCTTTTCAGAATCTTTCAATTCGTATACAAATTTAAAGTAATTATTAACAGGATAATGATATGACAAAGGAGCCGTTGCTTATTAACCAGATAACAAAGGAATTGTTAATCCGGCTCAACGGTATAGATGCCGGTCACAATGATTGAAACACCCACGGAGGGTAAGTGTGTGAGTCCGCACGTGTCATTGTGTGTAAGTGTGTGAATCCGCACGTGTCATTGTGTGTAAGTGTGTGAGTCCGCACGTGTCATTGTGTGTAAGTGTGTGAATCCGCACGTGTTATTGTGTGTAAGTGTGTGAGTCCGCACGTGTTATTGTGTGTAAGTGTGTGAGTCCGCACGTGTTATTGTGTGTAAGTGCGTGAGTCCGCACGTGTCATTGTGTGTAAGTGTGTGAGTCCGCACGTGTCATTGTGTGTAAGTGTGTGAGTCCGCACGTGTTATTGTGTGTAAGTGTGTGAGTCCGCACGTGTTATTGTGTGTAAGTGCGTGAGTCCGCACGTGTCATTGTGTGTAAGTGTGTGAGTCCGCACGTGTCATTGTGTGTAAGTGTGTGAGTCCGCACGTGTTATTGTGTGTAAGTGTGTGAGTCCGCACGTGTTATTGTATGTAAGTGTGTGAGTCCGCACGTGTTATTGTGTGTAAGTGTGTGAGTCCGCACGTGTTATTGTGTGTAAGTGCGTGAGTCCGCACGTGTCATTGTGTGTAAGTGTGTGAGTCCGCACGTGTTATTGTATGTAAGTGTGTGAGTCCGCACGTGTTATTGTGTGTAAGTGTGTGAGTCCGCACGTGTTATTGTGTGTAAGTGCGTGAGTCCGCACGTGTCATTGTGTGTAAGTGTGACATGCTGATTCTGAAACTTTTATTAATTTTATACGTTTACCTAAGTTACAGAAAAAAGCATACTAAAAAGCTATATAAATAGTTAGCTCCTCTAAATGCTATCCTGCACTAAATCTTTGATGAAAACAAATTGAATAGATGCAGTTTGCAGTTTGGTATAATTTTAAAAAATCTGACCTCTGACTTTTGTTATTTAAAAAATGCACAAATTTTCAGAAGGTACATTTTAGGAGATAAGTTCATTAAAATGTACAGGTTTAAACCCTCCTGTCACGATGAAAGTCGAACCCAGAGTGAGTTGCACTCGTCACTCACTGCAGTGACTATATCATACCCACAATTCAAGGGCTACATTTTCTTCCATCAGCTTGATAAGTTGAATCAGTAATAAAATGACACATAGTTTTTGAACGCCAAGGATAGGAACCGACTGGTCTGAGATTTTGGGTGCCGGATCGGAAATGTATTTTTGAAATTTCTAACCTTCGATCAAATATGAACGAATTTTTCATTTGTCCTAAAAGTTTTGAAATATCCAATCGACGGTCATTTAAAAACTTGAAGTCTCTTCGTTCCTTTTTTTCCCACTTATCTCATGCTGTTCAACTAATTAACAACAACAAGAACAACAGCATAGCATAAAAGACATGTGAATGTAATCTTGATGGAGCCATGATTGAGACAATTGATCAATGTTTAGCTTACCTCAGACTCCATTGTTAGTTAGCACAATTCATGGAGACTTTAGTCTATACGGAGATGCAAGAAACTTAAGAGGCTGTTATGGTGACTCGATAACTCGTACTCCGTTTTAGTTATACATACTAATTGCTATAATGAGTACGTACCGTACGTATTTCGACTAATTGCAGCTTGTTTTGCGGTGCTATGCCGCTACTTTCATGTGTTATGCATATACTGATATAGGTCATATTCATATATTCAATGAATATAGGCACTACTTATTGTCTAATACACATAAACCGAAAACATAGATTGCATATTATACATAACAGTGGAAAAAAGAAATGCTGCCTCATATATCTTTTATAAATTGTGTAGGCGGCCGCTCAATCGCCTGATACATCAACATGGTGAATGGTCCTCAACCATTTATTGTTACCCATTTACATCTCTCAGCCCTATGCAAGACTTACTAGGATCTGTTCATAGCGATTATTGTAATCATTATGATTTTACTTAATTACCTTCTCGGACCTTATTTTTGGGACATTACGTGAACGCTGATAGGAGCCCTTTAGCGTTCACATATTCATATCATCCTATTAAATACTTAAATATATTCTGATAAGGCAATTAGCTGTAGTGCCCTATATTACTTTATCATAAACCATGGACTAAAAGCAATTCAGCAACGATATATTTTGCATTTCGTAGCAAATTTTATCACGATCTACGTGGTGTTTCGAGGTCTCAAGAACTAAAATAAAACATTTAGTACAGGGAAATCCGTCTGAAAAAATCGATTTGCCGACACACAAAGCTTACAAAGGATTTTTGACGTTTTTGAGTCCTAATAGGTGTCCTTTATGGCTGACCAACTTTTCCAAACTTTTCCACGTGTCTTAAGGCCACTTTTTGCCACTTTACCACTTTTTACCACCTTTCTTGTTTGTCAAATATCTTTAGTTGTGAACATCGTAGAAAGTTGCAAATTAAACGAGGGTGTTCATATTATCAAGAAGAAAAACTTTTTTTTTGAGACAATTTTTTCCTCAGATAATCAATTATTTGGATAATTATCAATTAGCTAATCAGCAAAAATTTAAAAAATTTTTATTGGCTCTAAATGATTGGAATAGCTTAAAACACGGAGAAAAGTAGTTTTTAGAAAAACTTCGAAAATTGTTCACTTACATTTTTTTTCGAAATTTTTTTTCGCCAAAAGTTATCAAATTGCATGAAACGTAGAGAAAAATGCTTTTAAAAAAACTTCGTGAATTTTTGTTTTCAAGAATACTAAAATCACTTATATTTGTAGTTGGAGTTCAGTAAATCTCGGCAGATTTTAGTAATCAGGAATTATTAAATCGAAATAGATAAAAGGACTGAAACTGAAAAACGTTAACCACAGGATATGAGAGTTTTATAATTAACTAGAAAACCCGTGGTCACAGGGAGGAATTGCTAATAGTATTTTTTTGTTAGTAAGTTTAAATCGCGTCAAAATATCCTACACAACCGAAGATACAGCCGATTAAAATGTTGCTCGCAACGTAATATTGAAACAAAACCGATAAAAATGACGTTAAAACAATCTTTGCACGTGCACGTGCGTGCAATAACCCCCGTTACCATGGTTACTTTGCAACTTCCTATTTCTCATCTGATTTGCACGTGGGCGGTCGTACAGAAATAATTCTTTGAATTATAGTAGAGATTACAGTATATCCTTATCGATTTTTACAGAAACTGCACCAAAGGCACATTTAAGATCGAGCCGATAGCCTGCTGTACTACGATAATATGTAATAAATAAGACATCTCTGAGTCCGTACCGTCAATCGTGCTAATCTGAACCAGCCTACCTGGATTACCATCTACCTCTTCTTTTGATCATCAATAATTAGACCGAGTTGTGCAAGAAATATGATTCATCATAGCTCATATTGCATTTAGTGGGTGATGTAAGTACTTATCGAGCTGTATTCAATCACAATAGTAATATACGACACAATACCTTTGTATTAAATGGCCCTTAATGCGGTATTTTTTTTTTTTATGTTGGGGCACCCACTTTACCTCCCTATTGGGAGGCTACGTCCGTCATTAGTGACTAACGTCTATTGGGGTTCCTCTGGTTGTAGGTGTCAGTAGGTTTGGGTCACTTGGCATGGGCTAGTGATCCCGCCCCTCCAGAGGATAAAGCCTGGTGAGCGACGTTTCCCGTTAGGGAAACTGTCATAATGCTCGTTCACGGGAGAACACCACCCATGCCTAGATGTTCTCCCGGGTACTCGATAGAACAGGCTGCCCCCTGTCATTCTAGTGGGCTGACAGGAACCTACCAGGCATGCCTGAGCCTCCGATGGAATTCACCCATATCTTTGTTGTTTTTGTGTTATATCTTTGTCTTTGCGCGGCTCAATTTCCGCGCTATACTAAAGTGCTGATTCACGAATTTACATGCGATATTTGAATTTTGAGTAGACCCTTTTTTGTCGCAATTTGGCAATTTCTTTGTTCACGTAATTATTGCTAATTTTAAGTTTGCTGGTAATAATCTAAGTGCTATATCTCCAATAGCTGGCAGTTTGTCTGATTGTTAGATCCCCTCTAACTGGTAGCGGCCCTAAGGCTGGCAGTTTGTCTGATTGTTAGATCCCCTCTAACTGGTAGCGGCCCTAAGGCTGGCAGTTTGTCTGATTGTTAGATCCCCTCTAACTGGTAGCGGCCCTAAGGCGGCATGTGAGTGAATGAGTGAGTAATAAAGTGAGGTGTAGGAGAAGTGGGGAAGAAAACATGAATATGAAAGTATGGTACACTGTTGCCAGCTGACTCACCAGCAACAATGCAAGTCCAAGAAGAAAGAAGGAGAGACACTGTCCGTTATCTGGGTGTGCCACCACCGACAGTGCTCCCACTTCTGTGGGGCCGAGGGTGTTGGCTCCAAGAACCAGCCGTGAGCGAACAGCGCCTGACCCCCTCTATGGTTAACTTTAGAATGACAGGACTATGCTTTTCTCCAGGCCAATCCGTTCAGTAACCAGCTGACCCAGCACCACCTCTGATGGAAGATGTGGTTCGGATTGGACTTCGCTAGGATTTGTCAGTTTTTCTGTAGACACTAATGCTCCCTCGAGGAAAGACATGAGCCCCGGCGAAGCTGACCAAAAACGTGGCAGGGATTCTCACCCTACCCTTAATGCGGTATATGAAACGCTTTATACCTCGATAGACCCGGTATAGTTTATCACGAAAACGTCTACTTGGCCTCATGGCTCATTTACAGCTCGAAGAAGGCAAGAAGAGACCATGGATACCAAGGAAGAGCTAGGAAGTAGGAAACAAGTGTAAATACACCTTCCAACATCTATTGTGACTTGTTTTCTATTGTTCTGCATACCACTTCATTCGCTATGCGAGATACCTCATACCTCAAATCACCCCCACATATGTCAGGGTTGGCTAAATTCAAAAAGAGTAATATACGGGCAAAGATAAGATCTAGATACGAGCGTCGGACATGGGCAAGAGCCGTGGGGTAGTCAAGAAACGGTAATGATTATGCTGGTTTGCAATCCAGATGTTGTGAAGTAAAAAGACAGGTTCTTGCCGCAGGATATTTGGGGGCCATGATGATAAGCTCGGGATCAATGTGGGACGGATCGAAGAACATTAAAATGAGCGAGTTGACATTTTAGGCTTTCTGATGTTTTCTCGCCTTCTTCGAGCTGTCAATGAGCCATGAGGACAAGTATAAGTTTTCGTGATACAGTAAAACCTCTCTATACCGGCCTTTCGCGGGAGAAACGAGAAGTGTACGGTATAGTCTATAGATTTATAGAAACACCCCGATAAAATTGAAATAGATGTGAATAAACGGCGAGCAAAATTTCAACCCGATACCGCAAGAAATGATTAACTTATAGCGTCTCAACCACAAAATAATTTTTTCCGAAAATTGCACTCTTAACCAGGAAATGCTCGATTACAAAAATGGGTATTCTCAAAATAATTTTTTTTGGTGTGGAAACGGTGCGCTAGAAGGTCACTGAACTGCCTATGAGGTCATTTGGTCTGGACGGCACAAACCACTGTTTTGGTGTATGCCCCCTTAAGGGCCATATGATGTACACGTATTGTGTTTTATTGTGATAGTGTGATTGAAAACAGCTCGATATTATTTACAGACCCATCAAATGCGATATGACTCATATTGCATTTGGTGGGTGATGTAATTATTATGAGCTATAATAAATCACATTTCTTGCACAACTCGGTCTAATTATTGATGAAAAGAAGAGGTAGATGGTAATCCAGGTAGGCTGGTTCAGATTAGCACGATTGACGGTACAGACTCAGAGATGTTTTATTTATTACATATTATCGTAGTACAGCAGGCTATCGGCTCGATCTTAAATGTGCCTTTGGTGCAGTTTCTGTAAAAATCGATAAGGATATACTGTAATTAATTATAAAACTCTCATATCCTGTGGTTTTTCAGTTTCAGTCCTTTTATCTATTTCGATTTAATAATTCCTGATTACTGAAATCTGCCGAGATTTATTGAACTCCAACTACAAATATAAGTGATTTTAGTATTCTTGAAAACAAAAATTCACGAAGTTTTTTTAAAAGCATTTTTATCTACGTTTCATGCAATTTGATAACTTTTGGCGAAAAAAAATTTCGAAAAAAAATGTAAGTGAAAAATTTTCGAAGTTTTTCTAAAAACTACTTTTCTCCGTGTTTTAAGCTATTCCAATCATTTAGAGCCAATAAAAATTTTTTAAATTTTTGCTGATTAGCTATTTGATAATTATCCAATTAATTGATTATCTGAGGAAAAAATTGTCTCAACAAAAGTCTTTCTTCTTGATAATATGAACACCCTCGTTTAAACTGCAACTTTCTACGATGTTCACAACTAAAGATATTTGACAAACAAGAAAGGTGGTAAAAAGTGGTAAAGTGGCAAAAAGTGGCCTTAAGACACGTGGAAAAGTTTGGAAAAGTTGGTCAGCCATAAAGGACACCTATTAGGACTCAAAAACGTCAAAAATCCTTTGTAAGCTTTGTGTGTCGGCATGGCAAATCGATTTTTTCAGACGGATTTCCCTGTACTAATTGTATTACGACATGCTTCAACTTGTTCAATGTTCCAGGTAGACTGCAGTTTAGGCTAGTCGTACGACTGAAACAGTCTGGAAACCTTAGCTAACGAATAGTTGACATTATTTAGATAGGGCGTGTCTGTTTTACAAATGAGCTTGATTTGGACTGCAGTTATAGACTGTTGACTAAAATCTGCAGTGGCAATGATCTGAATTTTAGCTAAGGAAAATATGACCTGCAAAAACACGATTACTAGTTCCTAAGCTAATGCGATGGAAAGACAGAGATTCAAAACGGACATATTATGACAAAGAGCAAGGACGATTAAATGTCATTTTGCAACACTTAATTTGTATGGTTTTGTAAATAGCACACTTTTGTTTTTACACACTGCTACCATCGTGATGGATAACATTCCAAATCTTCGCGGAAACCAGCGAGTTATGAAAGATTATGCTGAGTTGAGGGCCAAAGAACAGGGTAAGTCTGTTTTGCTGCATAACTTGTGCCAACGTAGTGTTTGCGGTAATCGTCCCAAAAATCAAATTGACCTAATAATGGACGACTGGGAGTTTCATAGCAATTGATGAGAGCTATTACATACTAGATTTTCTATGATAAGGCAATGCTGCATTGCCGTAATACACAATATAATTTATAACACCAAAACTAGAAGCGTGAAGTTATGCCATATACGCTAGTAAAATTTTACTTTCGGCTTATTTGACGGCCACTGAAATTTTAACCTCACCGGATTTATTTCAGTTTTTTGCTCCTCCTGCAGGCTAAACATAAGTTTTGAAACGTGTGACCTGAGAGGAAGGATTATACAAACTAATCGAACTGAATTAGAATAACACTGCACCAGCAGCGTGAAGTTAAATACGCGAATCAAACTGCATGTAAAATACGATTACACCAGTTCGGCTGCACCTACGATTAATAATGTAATCGCATTCAATTTATACGCAGTTAGACTAACGTATGGGACCCTTACAACTCACGTTATAAACTCATCCAACTCCAAGAATAAACAGTATATATATACACACACAATTTTCTTTCTACACAATAAAAGAATATATATATATTCATATTGGGGGAGGGCGAGGACTGAGGAGGGCCTATCTTAACTTCTTTAGATGGGTATAATGGTTCACATGAAAGTTATGTGGTTCATGTTATGAAGCAGTCATGAAGATGATCAATTCCAAGGTTGTTAACTCTAAGTGGACTAAAATACACTCTAACGTTCCATGGCTGATCTCTAAAATAGTAAAAGGAGTCCTTGCTGTTACACTGTATAACTATATGGTTTAAAGGTCACGTGTCACCAGGTCACGTGTCATCGCATCAAAGCCCGCGCCCGGAATATACAAGCAATGTTTGTAAACCCTAATTACCGTACAAAGTCTCCACCCTCAAATATATATCTCATGCTGTCTACACTTTTACTCTAGTTATGTCAATTTGACTGCATGTGTTGGACAATGTCATGACAGTTGCTTCTTCAATTTATTATGTCTTTTTGATCGTTTATTTTTTATTCTTTACCACTCTACTCTCTCACATTGGAAATTCAAATAAATGTTCATTTATTTGTGTGTTTTTAGTTTTACTATATTTGAAGCTGATGATGCTAATTTTTCGCTGCAAAATAAGATAGCAGTAGCACCTTACAAGCATTTCAGTTTGATACCTCATCGGACGTTATTTGAGCGGACATTGCGTGAACGGACATAATTTTGAGCAGACATTTTTCCAGTTAGCAAATTATTTTTTGATCGAATTTAATACAGTAAGGAAGATCAAGAAACTGAAAAGCAATCGTATTAAACAGTAAAAATGTTGACACAATTTAGTCCGATGATAGAAATTGAAATTGAACGAAATTAAAAAGTTGTCATATCCTAAACAATAAGTCCGTAGTGAAATACGTTTGCGTTTGGGGAAACATTTTAACGGACTTGGACGACCCTAAGACATAAGATAATACTACTACCACTTCATCTAATTCTAGTCCTACTCATCATATATCAATATGTACCGTCAAAAATAGACTGGATCGTATTAAAATTATCGCGATAGAAAATTCGCTCAGCAATTGGAGACCAATTTTTGTTTGTTTGATGTATTATGCAAAATTGTTAATTGTTGTACAATGTGCATTGTACATTGTACAACAATCTGATCACGTACAGTATTAAGTGTCTGGGTGATTATGATTGGTCATTGTGCTTCATCAGAATTTAAAATAGTGATAGACTGTTGAATTGAATATGCCATGAATATCTACCCTAATGTTTACACTTGTTGGTCGGGACTCGGGCTTCTCTATGATGTCATTGTCAATATTTTTCTTCGTAAAATAGGGTCATCAAGAATTCGTAACATTTCTAAATTATTGTCATTCTCATATAATTCTTTAAGCAAATTAAACATTATAAACAAGTTCTAACAATTTGATTTTCAGTAATGATTCTCGATGCTGGCGGGGAGACGGCTAAAGAGACAGTGCTCGTTACAGTCATGAAATCACTGTGGTATACCGTGGCACTGTGGCTTCTCATCTGTTGTAGCTCGGTCATATTTATGGGAATTGAGGGAAACCACCAGAAACTGGTCCAATGGAGGACCTTGGAGGAGCTGGAGCAGTTTAACAAAAGTCTTTATAAGGTTACACTTACAGTTTCAAAATAAAGTATTCATTCAATCAATCCTTGCAACTAAATCTTTAGCTAGACAATTTTAATGCATGCTTTTGTCATTTCCGAGGAAAATGATAGTACATGATGGCAAATTATATATACTTTTGAACATACTTAACAACCAACAACATCATTAGTGGATAACTAAAAATGAAGGCCCCAATGCTAAAAGTCTGCGAAATACAATAGGCCTACACGAGCACCTTGAAGAAGCAACTTACGTGAAGATAGCTGGGGCCCAGATGGATTTGAACTTCACAAACATACACAATCGGATGAAGGCTAACTGTAGTTTGGCGATTCATGATCTGAAGTCATGGCACAATATGACCCAATCCAGGGGTGATTCCTTTATGTATGCTGTCAGCATCTTATCAACAGTAGGCAAGTAGCTATTTATAAGGACCAGGACCAGGACCAGGACCAGGACCAAGACCAGGACCAGGACCAGGACCAGGACCAGGACCAGGACCAGGACCAGGACCAGGACCAGGACCAGGACCAGGACCAGGACCAGGACCAGGACCAGGACCAGGACCAGGACCAGGACCAGGACCAGGACCAGGACCAGGACCAGGACCAGGACCAGAACTAAAATCTAAATATATCAATCTATGGTAAACATTTTTTGTCCTAGTTCTGGTCTTGGTCCTGGTCCTGGTCCTGGTCCTGGTCCTGAGGACCAGGACCAGGACCAGGACCAGGACCAGGACCAGAACCAGGACCAGGACCAGGACCAGGACCAGGACCAGGACCAGGACCAGGACCAGGACCAGGACCAGGACCAGGACCAGGACCAGGACCAGGACCAGGACCAGGACCAGGACCAGGACCAAGACCAGGACCAGGACCAGGACCAGGACCAGGACCAGGACCAGGACCAGGACCAGGACCAGGACCAGGACCAGGACCAGGACCAGGACCAGGACCAGGACCAGGACCAGAACTAGGACAAAAAATGTTTACCATAGATTGATATATTTAGATTTTAGTTCCATTATCACTTTCACTTTCAGGTTGGGGTGTTCACGTTCCACCGAATCATTATTTGCGAGTAGGCACGTTAATCTATGCTATATTAGGTTTACCTCTCTTCACCGCATTTATAGGTATGTCACTTTTACGAAGCAGTTCATTGCTGATCCCATTTTCCACAATCGTTATTCAAATTTGTATGTATATAATATGTACATATGATTTCTACATACAATGATTTATATTGATTTTTATTGTCGAAGATTCAATGCGAGATTTATCATGGAAAATAATTAGTAACCAATATGTCGGATTAATTATATCATTATTCTTAACCAGGTTATCAAATAGATTTCGTAAAACATGTGGAGAACTGCATGAAGAAAAATGAATTTGTAAAAAACTACTTGGGAGGCGGCACTACAATAAATGCTTGCATGGGCGTAGTCATGCTTACTGTCGCTCTAATCTACAGTAAGTGTACACTTACGTACTGATAAGGGATAGTTCACATATTACGTAATCAATATTTTAGCAATTTTTACCCCCCTCTCCCCTCCTGACAGCAATATTACGTAATCATGGCCTGACCCCCCCTCAGTCTCTAAGTCTACGTTTCATGCTACCCTGATGCTATCGTGATGAGCCGAAATAATTGTTATCATATCCGGCCAAGCTGAAGCACCTTCTAACCTATTTACTTTATAGCCGGATATTCCGATATTCGATCAATTTCTAAATTTTATCATTATATCATAGTGAAATTGAGTGGAATTTAAATTAAAATATTGTCAAATTGTTATTATTCTAGAGAGTAAAAAATATAATTTTGATTACGTAATCAACAACCAAACCCAACCCCCCCCCCCCCCCCCTCCGTAATCAACCGTAAGCATTTGGAACCCCCCGGCCCCCCCCCCCTCGGCTGATTACGTAATATGTGAACGACCTCTAAATGTATAGACCACTGATAAATTTAAAAGAGCACAATTCTGATGGATTGTGGTTACCAAATATATGAAAAATAAATTGAATAATTCCTATAAACTTCACCAAAAATGCAGGCAGGAGCTTTTTCCTCAACATTTTTTCGCTTAGGCAAAATAACTTTGATAATGGTTAACGAGGAGAAGAAAAACCCAGAGATACACCACGATCTAGCAGTTATAGGAGAACTAGATCACTGGGACTACTTTACAACGATCTACTTCACCTTCCAGACCGTGTCCACCATAGGATTCGGAGACGAGTTTATCTACAGTCCTGAGAAAGGCACTATGAGTTTTATTAAACCTATCTTCATCATCTTATTCACGGCCTTCCTCATCGCTTTATTCGCTCACATATTTGGCAAAATACAAAGACGGATGGACAAAAAGGCAGCGAAAAAGAGCGTGGAATCGTCAATAGCGCTGCAAGGTATGTCCAAAAGTGTTAAAAAGGCGTCCCAAGCGGTAAACCACAAAATGTTGTTTGGGTCCGACGAACCTTCCGAAATTCTGAAACGATTGCAAGCCCTTAGAGACGAGAATGGACAAAATGACGGTTTTGATGCAATGCTTATGGGGAGACACCGTGTACTTGCGAATAAAATTCACGAGGAGGGGGATGGAACGGACAACTCCCAGCCGAGTGATTCTCAACCAAGTTCTTCAATAAATACAGTAATTTGAAGAAAGAAATTTCATTGTTTCTAATCGAACTTATCGAAATTTTTTTGAGACGGTTTAAGTTTAAGTTTAAATCAAACACGATTTTTATTTATTTATTTTGTATTATAAATTTAGACGGATATTTTGTGACACTTCGAAAATCAATGTTAAACGATTTAAGGCTTGGGATGATCAGGATCAATTATAAATTCTTAAATTACACTAAGTCGATTTTGAAACTAAATATGGCAGTTTTTTCTTCTACACGAAAAGCTGCACTGGTTACACTTACTGTTAGTACAGTTAAGATCATACTAATTCCTTCAAATAGAACGCGAATCAGCCTCCTTAACAACAATTATGAATTAGAATAAACCCTATTCGTGCGAAAAGTCTTTATTTTATTAATTATTAAACAAATCTGATAGTTTTAATTTTGATAAGATCTCATAAACATGCTACAGCTGGCACTGGTACGTAGGTTTTACAAAACCCGAGTTCGTTAACATGCACACCATTCGCTTAAATGTTAAATTTACGGTTCATGCCACCGATTGCTACGATCATGATCGAATCGCACGACAAGGCATTTTGATTCCATAAGATTAAGAATGAAGAATGATACACAAATATCTGCTGGTGATCAATCAATATTTATTCGTTCTTATAGGTACAGGCCCGCCCAAGTAACCACCGGTAACGGGTAATATCAGTACTAATATCAGTAATACACGGTCACAGGTTAGTTTGATAACATTTTATTATAATCAAATTTATAAATAACCTTTATTTTGAAGTACGAATTGAGAATACCATTTGTACACATAAGATGAGTGAACCATAAACAATACATAATTGGCTGTATACCTAATACAAAATTAAATGATTGGCTAGCATGTCGAAAGTGATTACATTAATAACAGTAAGTTACCGTGGTTACTGGGTAACCACTATGGTCATGATGAGATGAGCATCGGAGAGAACTGGTTAACATAATAAATAAAATAAACTCACGCACAAATAAGCTATATTTAACACGTGCAAGCTCATTACTGATGATTAATCCTTCACATGTAACGTGTAAATAAAATAGAGCTCTAGGATTGGTCAGATATTATCATACCAGGAAATGACTGCATTACCCTCTTTATCATACTCTCCCTTCATCTAAGCAAACTCTCATAATCCTAATCAACATCTTTGCCGTTTGTTTCGCTAAATCTTCAGCAGTTCAGCCAGCATGGCAGACGACCAGGTCCAAGTGCTTAATGACCACGTTGAGGTACTTGCTATCCATGCGGACGAGAAGGAGGCAGAAGCTGCTGAAGCTAGAGAACGGGTATATGAGGCTATGGATGAAGCGTCAAAAGCTGCCAATGCAGCAGACGCCGAAGCGGCAGATAGTGATACCGATTTAGCAAATTCAGCAGAATCCGAAGATGCAGTAGATTCAGAAGATTCGGACTCAACAGATTTCGAAGATTCAGCAGGTTCGGATTCAGCAGATTTCGAAGATCCAGTAGATTCAGCAGATTCGGATTCAGCAGATACGGATTTAGCATATGCGGATTCGGATTCAGCATCTGATGAGGCGTATGGTGAGGAAGCATCGACTGATTAATAACTCAATAAGTTGACTGCAAATCACCGAAACGGATAATTTGGTAAACTTCGGTGATTTGTTTTTCCAATAGAGGTTTACTTAAAGAAAAAGGACATTTTGAGAACTTCAAGTTAGCTTTTAACTTTAAGAGCTAAACCAATCCGACTGCTGATCTGGTCAGATACAAGTCATAATGGTTAGTAAAGTCTCAATACACAAAAAGTAAATAGTGATCCGGCCCAGGCCTGAGAATCGTAAAAGAGTTCAGCCCCAAGGTGTGTGCTGGACAATATAAGGATGCTGCTCTAAAGAGCAGCATTAGAAACGTTGAATGAAGTTTTGGCCGATGACGTTTATGAAATATTATTTTTGTTTTGATTTTGAAGCTTGTTTATCCCAAAGTTTGGCTTATGTTCCACGTATCATATGAACAATCCCCACCTTTGCCAAAGAAAGCCTCGCTGAGCAGCTTTGGGTAGACTCAAGTGGAACGTTTTTGTTTTGGCTAGAACAGCTGGGATCATCAGCTCATGTTCCAACCGCCTTTTGGCTTAATCAATCCGGTCACGTGACTACCCTAGCTTTAAAATGTAGTCCTTTTGATCTCAGTGTCAAACATTTCTATGATCTCAGCTGTTCTAGTTTTGATATTTTTTGTGATTAGCGACTAAATATTCTCAAAGGATCGGCTGGAAGGTGTCCAGCAGGGACTGTTTTTGTTTTGATCAAGTGTTAGCATTATGTACATTGTACAGTATAACTATACATTGTAGTTATACATTATGTACATTGTACAACTTCAGTTCAACTAGCAGGTGTTACTGTTGGACATTTTTACTATTTACACATCTCCCGTGTTTTATTGCATTTGCATTGAATTTAATTGAGGATCAAATTTCAGGTCCAGGACCATTAATGCTACCTATTTAAAAAAATTATATTTAAGTGATAGCATTACACCATACACGAATTAATTGATTTACCCAGCTGTAAATAACAATCTATTTACTTTTAGCAAGTAAACGACAAAATGGCTGATGCTGGAGTAGACAAAGTGGTGGAGCTGACAGAAAAGGCGGAGAAGCTGTGCATAGAGGCGGAGAAAAAGTCGGAAGCAGCTTCAGCACTGGTTGATAAGGCTACGAAGAACGAAGAGGAATCGGATAAGAACCTTGCCGAGGCGGACAAATTGGCTGATGAAGCTGATAAAATCTCGGAGGAGGCGGATAAGTTGATGGAGGAGGCTGACAAAATAGCTGTAGCCGAGGATGCTGCTATCCAGAAAGAGATTGAAGAAGATGAGGCACAGATTGCCAAAGATGAAGTGGAATTGGCCAAAGCGGAAGCGGAATTGGCTGAAGCTGAAGCGGAATTAGCCAAAGAAGAAGAAGTGAAGAAGGTTTCTGTGTGAGTGAACTGAGGCAGACAGCATTTATTTTTAAGGTTGTACTGATTTGTGGTTTATAACTAATTCATGTTTGTTTGAATATTTCATAATATTTTCCGATTCCGCTTAAAATTTAAGTTTCAGTGTCCTTAGAATTATAGATTCTTGCTTGTGGGTCAGTTTTCTGCAAAAGTTATTAATAAATTATTAAATTGTAAATCAAGCATTGGTAAAATTTGTATATATTTGTTAGTTGACAGTACATATTTGTTAACCAGCAGTTTTTCTTTGCCCTCCACTCTGGAGTCTATAATAACATGTAAATCATCATTTAGTATAGAGGTCTGTTAATTTTCATCTTTCCTGTGCACAAGATGGTATATTACGCCGTGGCCCTACATAGCAACTAGTAATCACTTGCATTATATAATACATGAATCCTAACAAAATGAAACAGTGATATTCATTAGTAATTAAATATAACTCAATCATATCAGGAATTATCCGAAAAATCCAAGTCTTGCACAAAGGTACACAAAACTTGAAACTCAGCTCAAGTAAATATCTTCAAATAATAAACGGGAGCTCAACTCCTGCTGTTAATTTTCATCCAAAATTTTCTGCTCCGAGAAAATAAAATCTTCATCATCGTTAAATAAGATGGCATTGCAAAGAACAATTTCCCATTCCTAAATTTAAATCTGTAAATTAGAAACACAAATCAACACAAAACAACAAGTTACTTAGCAAATATCGATACATATAAAACTATTCGACTGTGAGCCGGAGCCTTTGAGAAAAATAAATTGACCGATGGATTTCAAGAAAGGATGGCAACCACATGATAATACTTTGAATGGAAAAGCAGTAATTTTATCAGCAACCAGCCGGTTAACTAACATAACTATTCATAAATTACTCCAACCTGAATAAAGTTAATAACAATCAACATAACTAAATAACTAAAACATGTCCGAACGTTATTTCCTGGTTGATACCTTCTTTCCTCTATTTACTATTACTGTTTTTCCCACCGAACCTTTCTCTCCTTTCCTCGTCTTCTGATGGAAAAAAGAAACCATTAACCTCCGACAGTAATTTTTCTCAATGAATGATTGATTCTCTTATTTTGATATATTGTTTGATGTAATACCGATCAATATAGTGGAAAGCCTAGAAATATTTACTAACTCGAGGACGTTTAGCTTTTAGAGGTCGGCTTCCTTTCTTTATCATCCGGTTATCAAGTTTCTTAACTCTGTGAAAGTTGGGCAGGTTAACTAATTTGAATTTGAATAAAGATTGTACTTCGTTTACATGAGCCAATATCCAATAAATAATCTCTCTATTGTATTGAGAGGCGCCCTTACTTGTATATCCGTACGAGCCAGTTAGTAGTAGTGAAAGCCTCCTCGATATACTCTAGCTTTACATCCCGGTCCCCTATCACCGACTCCCGGGTCCTATCAAAGCCTGGCGGTTGACGGTGATCCACTGTGACTTCCCCGAACCGGTAATAACACATCTTGTACATCATGCTATCCAACATGGTCTGAGAGGCTCGTCCGTCAACTCTGTATTCTCCTTCCGGCGTGAAATAGCGTCCTTCCTGTGACACAAATATAAATAAGGAACTTTCTATCTCGTTTCAAAGTCGAGATGTGAGGGGATAAATAGGTAAAATTGAAGAGAACTACTTCTCCTTGACTTGTTAGGGTTCGTTTCGTGACAAGGTTAAAAAGTGACACACTGGCACTGATTAATGATTTGAGAAGATAAGTTTACCTGAATATCTTGCGGATGTTCACCTTCAGCGATCCTAACCATCCACAGAAACTTGTTAATATCATCGCCAGAGTACCCAATCATACCACCGAATATAACTGCAATGGTAAACACTATAACTATTGTTGTGATGCCTAACAATGGTGGAATGAAGCACCAGAGTGCCATTCTAGAGCTGTCTTGGTGATGACAGGACACAATTATAAGTCTCCCGATTAAGGATTATACAGACTAATAACTCCCGTTCCTTCAATACTCTTGTGAATTGAACTAAGGGCCCAACATAACACAAAGCGGATATATATAAACATGAATTGGAGAATAATTGTACCCAGGGCCAGGGAAACAATCATGACGTGATCTTTCGGAACTTCATACATTCCCATGATCTCGACTGATCGTTCCTCTTGATAAAATGCAACTATTTATTCCCTTTTACCGGGTTCTCTTTCAATTCCATACCTAAGATATAGTCGACATCTAGATCCTGCATTATCTTGTAGGCGTTCTCTTCCGTGCTGGCCATGGCTTTACCCACCAGAGCTATGTGACTGTTATTCCACGTGTTGTTATCCACTAGTGTTGTCCTGAAGTATATAATCAATAATTAATAAATTCTAACATTTACTACACGCTTCTACATTAACACTTTTACATTCGTTGCTAAATTGTAGCTCTCTTATCAGTAGTTCTGTGTGCGCGTTGAATTATCTCTCTGGCTTTGTAGATTTGTATACATTGTTTGTACATTTTCTGTACAACGTGTACGATGCCTTATCCGCTACAGAGTGAACATATTGAGATGGTAGATGATGCTATGGTTGAGAATGGCCAGTTCCTTACGGAATATGTGAATCAGATACACATGGCGACGGACAGTATTTTCAAGGAGATTAGAAGTAAAATCGGAGTTGAACACAACGATGATGTGCGATTTAATAAACTGAACCAGAGAAGTGTGCCTAGAGAAAGGTTATCAGAATGGTTAGAAACAATGTGCTGGATACTGAACAATTATTGTGGACCATTGTTACAATCCGCCTCAGAAACAGCTGGCGACAACCGAATGTTCAGGAAAGAAAAAATAGCAGATGCGACCAAAATCATAGAACTACAAGAGAAGTTACTCACTAAGCAAGAAGAAGATATGGCAAAAATCAATGATTTACAGGAGAAGTTAGCTTTGAAGAAGGATGACGAGATTGGAACTGTGAAAATTGCAGCTCAGAAAGAGATCAAAACCTTTTCGTCTCTGTTGAAAAACACGTGCAAAAACGCCTTTGCACCGAAGAAGATCCAAGCTGCAGTGAAAAGGGTTGCCCTAGAAGATGATCGAAGTAAAAGTCTGATTATCTTTGGGCTTCCAGAGACGGAGGAAAACCTGGATGATAAGGTATCTGGTATTTTGTTGGACCATCTCAACGAAAAACCGAAAATTTTGAGATGTAAACGAGTTGGAAAGGACACAAGTGAACGAGTCAGGCCAGTGAAATTCATTTTGTCAAGCTCAGATCAAGCTCGTACCATCTTGAGCAAGACTAAGCTACTAAGACATGTAGACGGGTTTAGTTCAGTTTACATCACTCCTGATAGATCAGCTGCAGACAGGATGGCCTACAAGAAAGTTGTCGACCAGCTACTCAACAAAAGGACAGCAGAGCCTGACAAAGTTCATGTTATCAGGAACTTTAGAGTCATTAGCTCGGAGAAGGAGCCTTTAGAGTGATATATTTTCTATAAGTACCATATTATATGTTTTAATTCATTGATTAATTAATTTTTTGCTAGGGCCCAATGTTATTGCGGGTGTGGTATTTCTTACTGCACACTACTGTGTTTTGGTTACCCCTCTTTCAATACATAATTTGGGTTTCATACTGGGATAGTGGATTTTAGGGCTATATCGGTTTTCTCCTTGTATAACTGGGTTTATTTAGAAGCATTCAATTCTGTATAATTATGTATTGTTTGAAAAGTTTAAGATTAAAAAAAAAAATACACCCGACAAAGATGTACATTAAGTCATTCAAGCGAGACTTGTATTGTGATTAAACAGCCAGGTTCATTGTGTAATGTAAAGTTGGGAGTTTTGATTCGGATATGGTTTATTAATGACAGGTATTGATTGGGAGAACATCTTTAATTAATGATCACTACTAAGGGTAATGTTTTATCAGACAGGGAGTTTTATTGTTATTCTTCAGGCTCTGGTTTATGTTTTACGCGGTTACATCATTCATTTAATACAATTATATTTGATGTAATGTAGGCGGGAAATGTTTATATATCTTTTATTAGTGTGATGATACTTTGTTATAGAGATATATCTAGTAGAGGTTGACACTTGACTTTAAGCCCGCAGGAACCACTTATATTACCTTTGAGCGTACCGGAGAAGCTGTTTTCGGTACCTCAAAGTAATAATCAGTAAATAAAGCTGGCCAACCCTAAACGAAAGCGGGGGTTTCATGAGATAATTTGGCAATCAGCCAAATAAACGGATAATCAGTAGAATTACGAACCTATTAGCCATACCCGCTATCTGATACCCATAATCCCACCAACTCATAACTCTGCTCAAATCGTGGGTGTTCTGATTCAGCCAGAAATACGCTTCTCTAAAGTCGTCCAGAATATGTCTTGTCCTGAAAGGAGGCTTTATAAGAAATCACACATTCGTCTGCTGTCGGATCAACTCGAATCAGATGTACAATTTCGTCTAAATTGTACAGGTCAAATTTTCCGAACCCCTCCGTTGAAGGTGACGGAGATGCGTCGGGGAAGCGACAATAGTCACATACACAGCAGCACTTTCATAACAATTGTCAATTCACGCGCTCCCTTCTAGGTCCGAAATTTATAAACACTAGCCTAGTGGGCTTGAAATATATGTTATCATATTAAATAACAGTAAATGCAACTTATTCATGCAGCTTCAGCTAATATAAGATAAGGTACGTCTCTTAAATTAAATTGCATGCATTATGTGTACGCGCGGAACCGGCGCGCGCGACCTATTTATCGTGAAACCGGCGTGATTCTATAGAAAAAGTTACTCGCGCGTAACAATAATTAGACATTTTAAATGTGTCCGAAGTTGGCAATTTTAACCCATCTACATGACGTGTACTCTGAAAATTGGACCAATTTTCCTAACGAAGTGTTAAAATTATCTAAAACATTCTCCTGCAGCAAAACATTTCCATCAAAACGGTTTTACAAGACATGCCAAATATGTAGAGAACTCTTAAGACACTAAATTCAAAGTTTTAAAATTCGTATTTACCCGCCGCTTCCGCCGGTAGAAAGAACAATTGAAGGAGAGCTGTAAGCAGAGGAGGTGATCCAGGTACAATGGAATGCAAAGAGTGATAACAGGGCCAGGATTGTCATGATAATAATACTCGGAGATCCCTCTTCTTGCTTCGTCACGATTGTTCCGTCATCATTCTGTTCCTGAAAATATGTGTGAAGAATTTGACAATCATGATGTTGTTCCGTGGTTAAGAAATAATACATACTGCATAGCGAGCTATGTAAGGATTTGTTGAAAACCTATGTGACAATGAAGAAATATGTTATCCTATTCAATCCTGACTATGAACTGTTTATAATACCATCACAAAGCCATATCACGTGAGAGCACACCACGTGACATGACTATCCTCATTCCTCAGTCTATATTACCATCACAAAGCCATATCACAAATTCAGACCCTCAACACATATCGACAAGTTCGCTAGATCTTTATCGCAAAATATCAGACCATCTTTGAAGCCATACCACACATTTTTTGTGTTCAATCTCATCACGAAGATTAAAGGTGGGGTGGTGAACACTTTTCACACTGCTATATTTAGTAAACAATCTGCTCTTACTGAATATTAAAAACAGGGTGGGCTTCACAAAATCCTCGTAATATTAACACTAGCCTCCCCGAATTAACTGTGTGTCACGTGACCGATACTTGACGACGCTTTGAAGGGTACTTCAGGGAATGTTCATGTTTTTTGACTGGACACTTGTAGGTATAAGTCTGTAATGCTCTCCCCTCCCTCCCTATATATCGTGATGGGACGTGGTGTCCATCAACACTGTCACACATATCGGCTATATAGTACACTGTCACATATAATGAGGTGACGGAAGTTTGACAGCTGCTCCTGACAGGATTCAGCACATTGCTGGAACACCTCGTAATAACACACACACACACACTCATACACTAATTATTCAGTCACAAACTTGGACCCACAAAAAGTGGGTGTTAGTGATAGATTGATATTAGTCATGGTAAATACGAGCTAGTGTAGCTGGTATTGGAGGGATATAGTCCCAGGAGAACATGTTAAACAATAATATGATATCTTGTATATATTACATCTTCAGTTTAACACCGTGGTACTGATGCTAAATATTCAGTTTAAATAGAACTACAAGGTGCTCGCCATCTTTGCAAACACAGCGTACTCTTAAATGCAATATATAAAATATATATCACAATTTACATGCAATATGAATATATAAATAATGGATTTATGGTTGGATTGTGGTCTGCTCTGTAATAGCTTTATTTCCAGAACATCGCTTTAAATTCAAATTTGATGATTTTTTTAATTTAAAAAAGATACGCCTCATGAGTCACGTTATCTATAATGTCACATGTTCATTACTCCTTGGTGTTAATTTACATACACTAAGGTTTCTCTTTCAACTAAATGTAATGATAAATTTTAACTTAAATTTTACAACACTTTTGTCTTTAGTCCAGACATAACCTGACTCAATTCTACACACAATTCTACATACAATTCTACACACAAATCTTCAAAGTTTTCTTGCCCAAACAAGTCTGAATTTCCTGCCCAAATTTTTGGTACTCAAATTTATTTAGTCCAAAGTTTTGGCACACATATTATATGTTTGGGAATTAAGGTATTCCACGTATAATCGAACCATTTTTCTTAAGAAAATTCCTTATCACGAGAAATTCCTTATCAAATTCCTTATATGGGCTTGGTACAAAAATACTTTTTTCCGTAAACTTCCATTGGATTATTTACTTCATGGAGACAGGAAAAGGAAAACCAAGACTGAATTAAAAATTACATTGAATAATTTCTGCCAATTAAATTTTGAACAAATAAATATGATAAATCTTCTTCTGTCCATGTCGCTCTGAAAGGTTCTGCAAATTCACTTCTAGATATGATGGTCACAATCATGGTCATCATGGTGATGGCAATCTGAGTCGCAATCATGGTGGTCACAGTCATGGTGACATTCATGGTCATCATGGTGATGGCAATCTGAGTCGCAGTCATGATCCCCGTCACCATGGTCGCAATCATGGTCGCAATCTTGGTCACAATCATGGTCATCATGGTGATGGCAATCTGAGTCGAAATCATGGTGGTCACAGTCATGGTGACATTCATGGTCATCATGGTGATGGCAATCTGAGTCGCAGTCATGATCCCCGTCACCATGATCGCAATCTTGGTCACAATCATGGTCACAATCATGGTCATCATGGTGATGGCAATCTGAGTCGCAATCATGATCCCCGTCACCATGGTCGCAATCTTGGTCACAATCATGGTCATCATGGTGATGGCAATCTGATTCGCAATCATGGTGGTCACAGTCATGGTGACATTCATGGTCATCATGGTGATGGCAATCTGAGTCGCAGTCATGATCCCCGTCACCATGGTCGCAATCATGGTCACAATCATGGTCATCATGGTGATGGCAATCTGAGTCGCAATCATGGTCATCGTCATCGTGCTTACATCGCTTCACAAAGTTCATGTCCTCTCCATCAGCAAATCTAGTAGATCTGGATATAATAATATCCTTCTGCATGTGGGCCTCTACATCACCCACACCCACATTTCTAGCATAGCAACTGTAACATAGCAACACTAGCGTGACAGCCAGGATAAGACAACTAGTCGACTTCATGACTTGGGAATTATTTGGTCTGAACGGTAGATTATCAAAAAGATAGAATATCAAAATGAAGATTGTTTCTCCTTATCAACGAAACCAAAACAAAGAGGTTTAAAGGCTTAGTTTAAACGGTGCCGCATAGTCGCAACGAGAGGTCCAATAACAATAACACAATCAAAAAGAAATCAATCTAACTGTTCGGCAACAGAGCAAATTCGCTAGGGAAAGGAAATATAGACTAAATTACCTTGAAAAGATGTTTTTATTCACTTATTGAGAATTGCCTTAGACAACTATTAAAGATCTTTAATATATAATTTCACCCCGACAAGAAAGGTGTCACCTATAAGAAAGGTGTCAAGATGAATATGTAAATATAGTAAGGGCAGTAAAACGACAAAGAAATGGTTTTAATACAATTACAACCGCTCGATTGGCGATAACAAAAATCTTTCCGGGGGCATCGTGTGTCTAAATCTAGTATGATTATGTTCCTGTTTCAATAATAACAACACCAAATATGATTCAAGTACTAATGTCATGGTGTTGTCCTTCAACCCTGTTTATCATCTTGAAATCAGATTGGCATAATTTTTTGTTAAAGTTATATATTATTATATGATTTCTGATTTGACAATAGTACAAATTTTAACAGCAGATATACCTAGAAATTTAGTAGGTGATTTGGGAGGGCTTCACAAGTTGGGGTAATAGATGCTGATTATATATATCATATTATATGGTGCGAACAATAAAGATGCTTTTCTGGTGAACCAATGGACCACGTATGGGCATGGCTGTCGGCTGCCCTGCGGGCACCAGTGGGCGCCCGGAGCCCCCCAGTTGGTCGACTGCCCCCCCCCCCCCCCCCCGCCTTAGCGTAAATTGTTCACCACTTTTGTCTTTGGTCCAGATATAACGTTACTCTACACAGTAATTGTACGTCAACCCAGGCCACACACCTGTGTACTGTGTACACTAACTTCACACATATTCTATAACTTAATTAGCTTAGTTTCTACTGATCTCCAGCATTTGAGTTGTGAGTAGAGGCCAGCGTTCAATAAGTGTGTAGTTATTGAGAACAGATGGCTCTAGAAGCTGGAATCATAGGCCACAAGTAGTCAACTCAGATAACAAAATTTACACTTTACAGTTCAACAGACAATATTGTACATGTACGACTTATGACTATGTATATATTATTATTATTCTATTGTATACTAGTATACTATAACAATATAATCTATATTATATACGATCGGCTTGTAGCCATTATAAGAGCTGGTCATTGATAAGTACACCATTCTGAGTATAATTACTTAAAGACATTTGTAGGGGGGGGGTGTCATGTCCGTCTATGTCCGCCTATGTCCTGTCCTTTTTGGATTCTATGAGACAACGGACGTGTTTTTTGGGACATAGGCGGACACGGACGGACATTGGCGGACACGGACGGACATTGGCGGACTCGGACGGACATTGGCGGACTCGGACGGACATTGGCGGACCCGGACGGACATTGGCGGACTTGGATGGACATTGGTGGACATTAGCGGACATTGGTGGACATTAGCGGACAAACATTTTGAGGACTGAAGAGTACTGAAGAGTACTGAGGAGGATGGCTGAGAAGGATGGCTAAGGAGGATGGCTGAGGAGGATGACTGAGGAGGATGACTGAGGAGGATGACTGAGAGGGAGGAGAAGGCCCAGTGGCAAATAGTCAGGCGTCCAGGTATTTAACACCTAGTCAAAATTTGTTGATAACCGGTAAAAAAAGATTCTTGTGGAAAAAATATTCACATTAATTTAAAATTAAATCAAAATTGGTCGCTCTCAGGGCTAACGCGATGTTACATCATTTTATCGACTCGAAGTTCGAATCGAGCGCATTCCTAGATTCCATGACTATTTCTTACCTATAAGATTGCTTGACTATTTTTTGCGCATTCAGACACCAAAAAACGCGCAGAAAACGCGCGCTATCCATTCCTCCTTCCTCAACATCCCGGAATATGAAAAAATAGTCATGTAAAATAGTCATTTAAAATAGTCATGCAAAATTTCAGCTCTGATACGCTAAAATATCAAGTTAATCTTAAACAATCGACAATCTAATATGAATCCTCCCAATCCTCCCAGCCATATTAACTGGTGAACGGTGTAAATATAGAGCGGTATTTTAAAATGTAGCATTCAAAATTTTATGGATTCAAGTTGGCTCCTTTAGTCTAGATTCATTTAGAAAATTCTCGAAGTTCGAGTAATACAGTATTCTCAGGGTTTGGCGCTTAAGGAAGCTTCACATCCGAGACCGATTTCCACGAATCAATTTAATATTGTAGCTACAAGTCAACAACAGTGCAAGTGGGAAGGAAGTGAATCTAGCCATTGCTACTATATCAGGGGAACTCGTGTGTTCTAGGCTTAAGCAAGCTTCACATCCTAGATCATCTAGAGTACAGTGCAGACAACCCCCTCCATTATACATCCCTGTCCCGCTTTAAGTCCGAAGTTTATCATTGTTTATTGTCCAATATTGTATCTAGCCTGGCAGAAGCAAGCTTCAGATCCAAAGTCAGGCCATAAATATCGACACAAGGTCGAAGTCACTTTCAGAATAGCGAATCGTCTATCATGCTGATGAGAGTCAAATCTTAGAATTCGATCTACCGAGTTGGTATGAAGAAAAGTATAAAGATGTTTGTGGGCTAGGCTGTATACTTCTTTTAAAAAATATTTCCTTGCGTTTCAAATAAATTAAAGAATTCTCAGAAATTTTTTATTTAATTTCAAAATTTGCAATTGCATATTCATCCGGTAATTATTCTAATGGATACGCTAAGCATTTCAAACTAATCTTGACCTGGGAGAAGAGCTGACCAGTGACAAGTCGGCCGCAAAGCGGCCGAAAAATATATAGCCTTTTTTTCTTCCCAAACTGGATTCCTAGTCATATTTAAAATTTATTCCACTGGGGGAGAAGGATCAGGAAGACCCAGGAGGAGGAGGACCCAGAAGGAGGACCTAGGAGGAGGAGAAGGAGAACTGAGGAGGATGACTCAGGAGGAGGAGGACTCAGGAGGAGGACTGAGAAGGAGGAGGACTGAGGAGGATGGCTGAGGAGGATGGCTGAGGAGGATGACTGAGAGGGAGGAGGAGGAGGAAGAGGAGGAAGAGGACTGAGGAGGAGGAGGAGAAGGACTGAGGAGGAGAAGGAGGACCCAGGAGGACCCAGGAGGAGGAGGACCCAGGAGGAGGACCCAGGAAAAGGCCCCAGGAGGAGGAGGAGGACTGGGGAGGAGGAGAACTGTTGAAGACTGATGAGGAGGACTGAGGACGAGGAGGAGTAGGAGGAGGACTGAGGAGGGGAGGAGAAAGAGGACTGGGGAGGATCAGGAAGACCCAGGAGGACCCAGGAGGAGGAGGAGGACCCAGGAGGAGGAGGAGGACTGAGGAGGACTGAGGAGGAGGACTGACGTCTGACGATGACTAAGAAGGAGGAGGACTGAGGAGTACTGACGAGGATGGGTGAGGAGGATGGCTGAGGAGGATGACTGAGGAGGATGACTGAGAGGGAGGAGGAGGAGGACTCAGGAGGAGGACTCAGAAGGAAGAGGAGGAGGACTCAGGAGAACTGAGGAGGACTGAGGAGAACTGAGGAGGAGGAGGAGGAGTAGGACTGAATAGGAGGAGGAGAAGGAGGGGGACTGGGAGAGGACTGGGGAGGAGGAGGACTGATGAGAAGGATGAGGAGGAGGACCGATGAGGAGGAGGACTGAGGACCGAGGAGGAAGAGGAGGAGGATGAAGAGGAGGAGGAGGACCCAGGAGGAGGAACACTGAGGAGGAGGACTGAGGAGGACTGAGGAGGATGGCTGAGGAGGATGACTGAGAGGGAAGAGGAGGAGGAGGAGGAGGAGGAGGAGGAGGACTCAGGAGGAGGAGGAGGACTGAGGAGGACTCAGTAGGAAGAGGAGGAGGACTCAGGAGAACTGAGGAGGACTGAGGAGAACTGAGGAGGAGGAGGAGGAGTAGGACTGAATAGGAGGAGGAGAAGGAGGGGGACTGGGAGAGGACTGGGGAGGAGGAGGACTGATGAGAAGGATGAGGAGGAGGACCGAGGAGGAGGAGGACTGAGGACCGAGGAGGAAGAGGAGGAGGATGAAGAGTAGGAGGAGGACCCAGGAGGAGGAACACTGACTGAGAGGGAAGAGGAGGAGGAGGAGGACTCAGGAGGAGGAGGAGGACTGAGGAGGACTGAGAAGGAGGAGGAGGAGGAGGACTGAATAGGAGGAGGAGGAGGGGGACTGGGGGAGGACTGAGGAGGAGGATGGAGGACTGAGGAGAAGGATGAGGAGGAGGACTGAGGAGGACTGAGGAGACACTCCGGCTGAGGAGGATGGCTGAGGAGGATGACTGAGAGGGAGGAGGAGGAGGAAGAGGAGGAAGAGGACTGAGGAGGAGGATGGAGGACTGAGGAGAAGGATGAGGAGGAGGACTGAGGAGGACTGAGGTGACACCCCGGCTGAGGAGGATGGCTGAGGACGATGACTGAGAGGGAGGAGGAGGAGGAAGAGGAGGAAGAGGACTGAGGAGGAGGAGGAGAAGGACTGAGGAGAAGAAGGAGGACCCAGGAGGAGGAGGACCCAGGAGGAGGAGGACCCAGGAGGAGGACCCAGGAAAAGGCCCCAGGAGGAGGAGGAGGACTGGGGAGGAGGAGAACTGTTGAAGACTGATGAGGAGGACTGAGGACGAGGAGGAGGAGTAGGAGGAGAACTGAGGAGGGGAGGAGGAAGAGGACTGGGGAGGATCAGGAAGACCCAGGAGGACCCAGGAGGAGGAGGAGGAGGAGGACCCAGGAGAAGGAGGAGAACTGACGAGGATGGGTGAGGAGGATGGCTGAGGAGGATGACTGAGGAGGATGACTGAGAGGGAGGAGGAGGAGGACTCAGGAGGAGGACTCAGAAGGAAGAGGAGGAGGACTCAGGAGGAGGACTCAGGAGGAGGACTTAGGAGAAATGAGAAGGAAGACTGAGGAGAACTGAGGAGGAGGAGGAGGAGTAGGACTGAATAGGAGGAGGAGTAGGAGGGGGACTGGGAGAGGACTGGGGAGGAGGAGGACTGATGAGAAGGATGAGGAGGAGGACCCAGGAGGAGGAGGACTGAGGACCGAGGAGGAAGAGGAGGAGGAGGACCCAGGAGGAGGAGGACTGAGGAGGACTGAGGAGGATGGCTGAGGAGGATGACTGAGAGGGAAGAGGAGGAGGAGGAGGAGGACTCAGGAGGAGGAGGAGGACTGAGGAGGACTGAGAAGGAGGAGGAGGAGGAGGAGGACTGAATAGGAGGAGGAGGAGGGGGACTGGGGGAGGACTGAGGAGGAGGATGGAGGACTGAGGAGAAGGATGAGGAGGAGGACTGAGGAGGACTGAGGACTGAGGAGGAAGAGGAGGAGGATGAAGAGGAGGAGGAGGACCCAGGAGGAGGACCCAGGAGGAGGACTCAGGAGGAGGAGGAGGAGGACTGGGGAGGAGAAGGACTGTTGAGGACTGATGAGGAGGACTGAGGACGAGGAGGAGGAGTAGGAGGAGGACTGAGGAGGGGAGGAGGAAGAGGACTGAGGAAGATCAGGAAGACCCAGGGGGAGGAGGAGGAAGAGTAGGAGGAGGAAGCATCTAAATGTTATTTCCATTTTTGTCCGTTTTTGTCCATTTTTGTCCGTTTTTGTCCGCTCTATTTTTTGTCTGTTTTGAAAATATAGGGTACCGAACGGACAAAAAACATGATCCCCCTATAACAGCAAAAATTGAACATTTTATTTAACAATTTAGGTGTCCATTAATGTCCGCCTATGTCCGCCTATGTCCGTCTATGTCCGCCTATGTCCGCCTATGTCCGCCTATGTCCGTCTATGTCCGCCTATGTCCGCCTATGTCCTGTCCTTTTTGGATTCTATGAGACAAGCGGACATAGACGGACGTGACACCCCCCCCTTTGTAGTAATCTGCCTGTTTACTACTCTTTAATCCATACAATTATAATACTTAATACCTAATATGTAATATTAAGTGTGTTTATACACACGGTTCTGTGAGGAACTAGTTATCTGCACAGGATGTTGATCATAAAGCTCTACTACCCTCCAGTTTCAAACAAACTACTCGATCTTTGAAATAGTAGCTAACATTGCATTCTATTTGTAAGTTAAAAATAAAATAAATAAAATAATAGTACTATATCAAACAGTTAACCGTATTCTAACCTCTTGAGGGGGAGGTTTAGCGAGGTATTTCTCCATGATAACAGAGAGAGCGATAGCGGAGAGTATACACACAACCGGAGTAAGTGTTAACATCAGTCGAACCATCACCCCCGCGAAGTAGGACGCGAACACTGCGTATAACAGAACTGAGAGTGTTACTTGGTGTTACTTGGTGTTACATGGGAGTGTTACTTGGTGTTACTTGGGAGTGTTACATGGGAGTGTTACTTGGGAGTGTTACTTGGTGTTACTTGGGAGTGTTACTTGGGAGTGTTACTTGGGAGTGTTACTTGGTGTTACTTGGTGTTACTTGGGAGAGTTACTTGGTGTTACATGGGAGTGTTACTTGGTGTTACTTGGGAGTGTTACTTGGGAGTGTTACTTGGGAGTGTTACTTGGGAGTGTTACTTGGTGTTACTTGGGAGTGTTACTTGGGAGTGTTACTTGGGAGTGTTACTTGGGAGTGTTACTTGGGTGGTTGGCTACTCGCCAGTTCTAGTGCCAACATTTCAGAGTATCGTTTTGACGGAATTAAAGTCCTGGAGCCTCAATTTTATTTCTCAGTGAAAACTGAAGTCCATATTTATTATCCATCAACTAGAAAGAGGGGGTAATTCGTAAATAGAATTGAGCCGAGAAAAGCAATTTAGATAATCCCTCACTTTTAAGGAACTTACCTAAGACATTTCCTTTCCCCAAACTTATCAATAAATTTGTAGTATAGTTTGTGGTCAAGGTGCAAGTTCCATGTAAAATTAACTTTATCAACTTGCGTTTGTGCACGTTAAAATCCCAACTTTGCGGTCTCAATATTAACTTAGAAATTACCATATCACATTTAACGCCATTAGATTTATTTTACCACTGACCCCATCAGCCCCTCTGTCTACTTGATAGGGACTATGATTATCGTTTTGACATGGAATTTCCCACTAAACTATAAATCTTAAAATTACCGATGCTAAACTTTCAGCGTTAAAGTTGTAAAACAACGACTAAAAGGAAGTTAAAATGACATATTTTAACAAGAGACTCACTAAAAACACGTTCGGTAGTGAGGTTCTTGAAGCAGATCCAGGCTCCAGCAGGGAAGAGAGGGACCATGATGTGGAGATCGAAGAAGAATGCTACCCAGGTGGTAGGTTGGTGCTCTGATACTGATGCAATGATCGGTATGTGGATCTTTGCATACCTGCAGGGAGAGAACGTGTCACAACGTGTCACAACATGTTACAACATGTTACAACGTGTCAAAACATGTAACAACATGTTACAACGTGTCAAATACATGTTACAACGTGTCAAAACATGTTACAACATGTCACAACATGTCACAACATGTCATGTCACAACATGTCACAACATGTTACAACATGTTACAACGTGTCACAACGTGTCACAACATGTTGCAATATGTCACAACATCTCAGATATGAGACGAGAGGGTGCTCATGCTGCTTGAATCTAGATACAGATTATTAAAAATGATTTGGGACTGAGTTAAGATGTGTAAGGTGACATGAGTAGGACCCAATCACCTTTTATGTTTCTTTCATTACAATATCCACGGTGCGGTGGAAAATGGATCAGTCATCAGCTTCATCTGTATTCACGATATGCAATGTCCATTTATTTTGGTAGCTTTAGTACTTGAAAAGGGTGTGCAGGGGCGGATTGTACAGCTTGAGCAGAGTGCTACAGATTTTGCAACAAATTTTCCTGCTTTATTTAGTTACTTAATTCAAGCTGTTCAGAATCCAATCATTTGAATTGCGTAATGTACTGTGGCTCAAGAGTATAGTGGACACGGGAGCTTGGATAAATTGAAAAATGAGAATACTGACTCACCAAGTGTCCCACAAAGAGTAGAATCTGCCACTAATTACTCACCCAGTGTGTCACAAAGAGTAGAATCTGCCACTAATTACTCACCCAGTGTCCCACAAAGAGTAGAATCTGCCACTAATTACTCACCCAGTGTCCCACAAAGAGTAGAATCTGCCACTAATTACTCACCCAGTGTCCCGCAAAGAGTAGAATCTGCCACTCATTACTCACCCAGTGTCCCACAAAGAGTAGAATCTGCCACTAATTACTCACCCAGTGTCCCACAGAGAGTAGAATCTGCCACTAATTACTCACCCAGTGTCCCACAAAGAGTAGAATCTGCCACTAAATACTCACCCAGTGTCCCACAAAGAGTAGAATTTGCCACTAATTACTCACCCAGTGTCCCACAAAGAGTATAATCTGCCACTCATTACTCACCCAGTGTCCCACAAAGAGTAGAATCTGCCACTAATTACTCACCCAGTGTCGCACAAAGTGTAGAATCTGCCACTAATTACTCACCCAGTGTCCCACAAAGAGTAGAATTTGCCACTCATTACTCACCCAGTGTCCCACAAAGAGTATAATCTGCCACTCATTACTCACCCAGTGTCGCACAAAGTGTAGAATCTGCCACTAATTACTCACCCAGGCCAGTGTCCCACAAAGAGTAGAATTTGCCACTCATTACTCACCCAGTGTCCCACAAAGAGTAGAATCTGCCACTAATTACTCACCCAGTGTCCCACAAAGAGTAGAATTTGCCACTCATTACTCACCCAGTGTCCCACAAAGAGTATAATCTGCCACTCATTACTCACCCAGTGTCGCACAAAGTGTAGAATCTGCCACTAATTACTCACCCAGGCCAGTGTCCCACAAAGAGTAGAATTTGCCACTCATTACTCACCCAGTGTCCCACAAAGAGTAGAATCTGCCACTAATTACTCACCCAGTGTCCCACAAAGAGTAGAATCTGCCACTAATTACTCACCCAGTGTCCCACAAAGAGTAGAATCTGCCGCTCATTACTCACCCAGTGTCCCACAAAGAGTAGAATCTGCCACTAATTACTCACCCAGTGTCCCACAAAGAGTAGAATTTGCCACTCATTACTCACCCAGTGTCCCACAAAGAGTAGAATCTGCCACTAATTACTCACCCAGTGTCCCACAAAGAGTAGAATCTGCCACTAATTACTCACCCAGTGTCCCACAAAGAGTAGAATCTGCCGCTCATTACTCACCCAGTGTCCCACAAAGAGTAGAATCTGCCACTAATTACTCACCCAGTGTCCCACAAAGAGTAGAATTTGCCACTCATTACTCACCCAGTGTCCCACAAAGAGTAGAATCTGCCACTAATTACTCACCCAGTGTCCCACAAAGAGTAGAATCTGCCACTAATTACTCACCCAGTGTCCCACAAAGAGTAGAATCTGCCGCTCCAAGGTGCCACATATCCAGCCCACGTCAGGCCGGTCAGCAGCATAAAGCCCAGTACTGATGAAATAAGGAATCCCGTCTTGAACAGCACCTGATCGGAAATACTCTTACAGTTTCTTGTACGAGTTCCTTTGAAATGTTAGGTCTAGAGTAAGAACAATTAGACGACCTTGTCACTAACACATCATACAGTAATATCGGCATTTCCAATCTTTAAAAGGGTGAATCTGTCGGATGATAATGACACTGGGTTTAAAACAAATGGGGGATATTTAACCTCAAACTGCTTCTTGGTAGTAGCAGCTTTAACGTAGTGTAGAAAAGCCACGATCTGGAGTAACCCGAATACGCCGAGAGCGGCCATGTGCTCGCTGGTGCGGAGCGGCTGGAATCCCACGAAGGGAACCTGCATGCTGCAGATCAGACCAACTATGTAGAACGTGCTGTATGCTGCGGAGAGTAGCTGTGTGTCATGTTGATTGAGGGGGGGGGGGGGGGGGAAGTAAATACAGTAATTTATATGTTTTATAGTTGTGTCGTTGTTCTTGTGAGTTGCGATGATGTAAGAGTTAAGTTTAAGGAAAGTAAAGGATTTTGTTTATACTTTTTAACGCTAGACTATATAAGTCATACATAAGTATTACCACAATTAGTATACTATGGTCTATGATACTGTTATAGGTAGCCAAAATTCTAAAGTATTTGCTATATTTTGTAAGATCTTGGCTATATTTGGAATGAAGCCGTACAGCAGCTGACAAGTAATGTCGTAATGCCTATTTTATGTACGGCTAAAGTGAATTTGTATAAAACAACAGGCTCCATTATAACCGAACATGCATATAATCAAACTTACAAAATTTCCAAATAACTTACAGATGTATATTTTAGCGCTGAATTTGCCCATGAGCAGGACAACGAGGACGTGAAGGGGCACGAGGTTGGTGATGAAGACATACCCACCCCAGGCTGAGACCATGTAGAAATAGCTGAGAGCAGCCAGTATCGCCCACGTTACTGAACCCTTCTTCATTGCGCGGATCTGGGAATGGCAGTTATTTGGGTTATTTAGTGGAAATATTTTAATCTTTTCGGGTTCTTTAGTTTTTAAATATCTGGAATGGAATGTTTTAAGGTGAAATACAACCACAGGAGCATTTAATCACCAGAAGGTCTGACAAAATGTAAGGAATAAAATATAAGCTGACCTATCGAACTCAATATCGTATACAAGGCACAAGCTAATATTGTTATAATTAAGTTAATTGTTACAAATATAATTAAGCTAATTGTTATAATTAAGCTAATTTCTCTAATGTAACTTACCCACAAGAAGAAGGTGAGCATGAGAGCGAAGATGGCAATACCTTCGTTGTCATAACTACCAGCAACAGATCTGGATATGTAGCCGGGTGCTGTAACATTACCTCAGTTAATAACATTGTCATGGTGATCACACAGTTGTCATGGTCATCACTATCTCTCCACCGCATTACACAGAGTATATTACAGGTATTTAAGTATGAAGGTAATACGGAGGTCTCAGTATTCTAGAGGAGATTGGTATAAATTCATTTATAATGAGTCGCGTAGTTCAGGGCTACTACTACTACTACTACTACTACTATTACTACTACTACTAGTTCAGGGCTTCTACTACTACTACTACTACTACTGTAAAATCCGGATTGGAGTATTATTTATGAGTCGCATTGTTGTAATGTATTCTGGGTAAAAATTATCTTTATCCCGGTTGTTGCGACAAGTAAAAATGCTCTTATTAGGGAAAGGAGATTACTCGACGTTTCAATGTAACTACATCGTATTCATGATCTCAAATTATTTGTTGTATAGTAGTGTTGAAAGTATTTTAATACTTTCAACACTACTATACAACTACTATATAGTAGTGTTGAAAGTATTTTAATACTTTCAACACTACTATACAACAAATAATTTGAGATCATGAATACGATGTAGTTACATTGAAACGTCGAGTAATCTCCTTTCCCTAATAAGAGCATTTTTACTTGTCGCAACAACCGGGATAAAGATAATTTTTACCCAGAATACACTACTACTACTACTACTACTACTAGTTCAGGGCTACTACTACTACTAATTATAGTCCCGCAGACGGACTAAGCTATAAATATAAGTCACTAGTTAAAGTTTCCCATCACTAGTCCCGCAGACGGACTAAGCTATAAATATAAGTCACTAGTTAAAGTTTCCCATCACTAGTCCCGCAGACGGACTAAGCTATAAATATAAGTCACTAGTTAAAGTTTCCCATCACTAGTTCCTAATCACATTTACTCGAGTATTTGACCCGACCCCGGCCCCGGATGAGTGCCTCAATCTGGGATTCCCTCCCATTTCCATATTAAAATTAAATGCCTATTCCTAGTGCGTGTATCATTTATAATAAACCAACAGGATATACTACTGCTACTGCTACTGCTACTGCTACTGCTACTGCTACTGCTACTGCTACTGCTACTGCTACTACTGCTACTACTGCTACTACTGCTACTACTGCTACTGCTACTGCTACTGCTACTGCTACTGCTACTGCTACTGCTACAATGGGATCTATACCAATCAATAACTTCAAAATATGTTATAATTTATGTGCCGATCTGTATCATAAAAGTAAATAAAGCGATGAAGCTATGTGTCAGACGGGTCAGACACCTATTTACATAATATACAGAAAGTGTTTTTACGCTGCATCAAGTTATTAACGTAATGTAAATGATGGCCAGTATTAACACCCTCAGGGGATAGATTCCGTTCTGAAGGGCAGGGAGGATAATGGACGAGATTTCCATTTTATAAAGCAATGGTAAGCTTATGAGAAAAACTGGTCGGAACATCTAACATACAATAAAGTGCTACTGCTTTTTAAAGGTGATGGTCAGCTTTTGACTGTACACTGTACAGTATACAACTTAGTCCAGGATAAGTCTTAAAGACGTTTCATTTCACAAAGTAATGCGCTAGAAACTAAGAATTCCAGGATAAAAATTCCACCCGGTAAATTGCAATCTTAAAATATCGATAAATTTTGACTTGTCATTAGTTATTCTCTCGATACATAATCTTTAAAAGTTTAGTCAAATGACAATAATGTATTTCCGAAAAGTAAATTTGACATAGATCATAAGTATTAAATGTTTTTACGTGTTACTATCCAAGTTATACGCAATTAAGAGAATAAATAACCATTATTATTTAATGAAGTCACTAAGCTACACTTCAGCAAAGTACACACTCCTAGAAAATGAGAAACCAAATTTCAATCTACCTGAACATGTTGATTACAATGTTTTACCTATAGCGATGAAGCTGAACATGTTGATTACAATGTTTTACCTATAGCGATGAAGCAAGCAGCCAGCAGCCCTGCTCCAGTGCTCCACAGTTCACGTGTAAGGAGGAATGTTGTTATAGCTGTCAGACCACTGGAAAATGGGTAATTAGAATAATTAGCTTGATGGTCATTTATCATATTTATATTAATAAGAATACAATTTGAGAGAGGTAGAAGTTGTATTATAACTTTATAACAATAAAATTGCGTGTTTTTTCAATGTAGCTTGATTTTAGTTGATTGTTGTGTTGTAAGTGTCAAGGAAGCGTGGTAGATATGGTATAATTGTTGTACGTTCTGAATGATTTATTTTTGGTCAAAGCTAAGGCAAGTGCAGACTGCAGCTGTACTCCTGACCATTTTTCTCGAATTTCAGTTTTTGAGAAAACTACATAAAAGAATATTACATATGATACAGCGCCAAGGGACCAATGAGATTCTGTGAAATTTTAAATGCACTCGACGACAACATATAAAAGTTTAAGTATCCGTAGTTAAAAGAAATCTCTACCAGTGTTGTCATTACGAGTGACAACTACATTCGGTAATTATGAGATACACGATTGTCACGTGCCTTAATCGCAAGAGTGAGATTAATTAAAATAACTGTCACGTGAGCAGTCTGACAACCAATCATACCAGTTTCTAACAGCAACACTGGATAGATTATAGAAATATTAATACACAAGCCAAATAATCATTATATATTCGACAATATATAATCTGAAATCAAAGTTAACACAGAGAGCTGGTGTTACCTGAAGATAGGAGCCAGGAAGACACATATATCTCTGATGTGGAAGGGTATGTTGAGGGAATGTAGAATCCAGTGTATAGTGCCCGAGGTTAACATCAGGCCTGGATATACCTGTATGTGGGGCGTCAACTAGACCCCTCATTAAACACCCAGCAAGTATAACACCTTGTACAGACAAGGTGTTATACTTCTTCACTTTATAATGCTATCGGTAAACAATTAAAAAAATGTGGATCCTTTTAAGCTGGCCCCTAAGATCTTAGTAATAAACTCGATTATTTTGTAACTTTAACACAATGTGCTGATTTACAGCTTGATAGTGTTATTAAACTATTTAAGACTTACGGTGCCACCGACAATGCGACCAAGGGGGTACCATGCTCTAGAGTCGAACCAGTTTAGGAAATTGTAGAAACCATTCTCAACCATGTGGTGAGTTGCACGGTAGTTAAACCTGGGGTGTCATGCTGACATCTTCTAGTTGTTCAATGGCTTTGGGTTTATTTTCGGACTGCTAAGAGTCCTACCCAGAATAATTTCAATGATATCTAACTTGTAATTTTAAAATACTTGGAGACGACAATTTGTGAACCATTGCTGCATAGAAACCTATGATGTATACATTATATTATATTATAATGTATATAATTGTACATGCAATTTCAAGGTAAAATATTCTTAAAAATAGATTAACAGAACTCACCATGGATCGAACTCATGGATGATACTTTCGAACCGGATGACTGCAAACAATCTCGAGCAGAAAGCTACAAGATAGGCAGAACCAAGGATAATGACAGCAAGAAGACTTAATGCACCTTTAGCACTACGATCTGCAGCTTCAGCTTTCTTTGCTTCCTCCTCAGTAGCTACTTTTACTTCTAGTACATCTTTTTCTTTGGCTTTTTCATCCATTTCCCCATTTGGAGCCACTTCCGTGGTCACTGGTTCGGGCATGCCTAGATGATTATAAATTCAATTATGAATCTTGGCATAATTTGATGGCATTTTTGGAAGCATGAGCAGTGGAAACATGCAAGACCCTAATTCTTACTACAAATTGGAATTAGCAAATATCATATTTTTAAGTGACCAATTATCCCATTTGTATTCTACACAGTTTTCTTTTAACAAAATCCAAGATAAGAAATTGGTGAGGAGCGTGATAAATACTAATGTGTATATTGTGTAATAGCAAAGGTGGTTAGCATATCAAAGAGCCCAGCTGACCCTGCACCCTTTTCTCAGATTTAATACATTTTCATACAGAAAATGTGATATGTAGGGGTCAGGTAGGAATAAAATCAGTTTGTTGACAATAATCTGAAAAGCTATTTATGACTTGGGGTTTCTGTAAATATTAGTGTGCTACAAGGACAAAAGGAAATCGCGGCACGGAATCGCGATTTTTCCCATTCTCAGCAACAAATCTCGATTTTTGATGTTTGCTGTGAAAAATTGCAATTTTCTCAGATCCTCGCGACAAATCGTGATTATTTCAGTTCTCCACGACAAATTGCGCATTTTTCTTTAAAATTGAGAACCAAATTTGCGCATTCTCCTTTAAATCTGAGTGCCAAATATCACGTTCTTTATAAGTTTATGGAACCAATCACATCCACAGCCTTTCGAATGTATGTACTTCAGAAGCTCATAATAATCAGGGTATCATAAAACATAAACAAAAGTAGTTTCCAGAAAAAATTTGAAAAATTTTGAGCTCCCGCCTGCATTCCGAGATCGCATTACAAGTATCTTGAGAGTTGAGGGGAAGCCTCAAATCGTATATCGAGAGGTAGGTACAATTACTAAGTACGGACTTCAGTAAAGTAAACAGAAAAAATATGTTAGACTCATAGTGATCAATGAGATACAATTTGTAGATTACTACTGCAAATATCTTAAAAATCGTATTCTGTCTGAAATAGCAAAACAATTGGAGAAAGGGTCATTCGTCCCCCTTGTAGTTACCACTACAGGAGGAATGGCACCTGAGGCCAAGCTTGTGGTGTAACGTTACGTTGTGCCGCCCCCCTGCTGATTGAAATTTGCCGCCCCTTTTCCGCCCCTAAAATTTTGTGTCCCTAAAAAAAAAAGGGTCGGGTACTTTTTTTGCCGCCCCCTACACCTTTTTGCCGCCCCCTGAAGCAACAATGGTACCCCAAATATTTTTTTCACGTCGACCGAACGCTAAATTCGACAGGGTAGTACACCAATAAGGCGCTTTTTCCGTGAAATCAGACCTACAATCCAGGGAAATGCCGCCCCCCTAAGGTGCCGCCCCGTAGGGTGAGAATCCCTGCCACGTTTTTGGTCAGTTTCGCCGGGGCTCATGTCTTTTCTCGAGGGAGCATTAGTGTCTACAGAAAAACTGACAAATCCTAGCGAAGTCCAATCCGAACCACATCTTCCATTAGAGGTGGTGCTGGGTCAGCTGGTTACTGAACGGATTGGCCTGGAGAATGGCATAGTCCTGTTACTCTCAAGTTAACCATAGAGGGGGACAGGCGCTGTTCGCTCACGGCTGGTTCTTGGAACCAACACCCTCAGCCCCACAGAAGTGGGAGCACTGTCGGTGGTGGCTCACCCAGATAACGGACAGTGTCTCTCCTTCTTTCTTCTTGGACTTGCATTGTTGCTGGTGAGTCAGCCAGTAGCAATGCAGCATCTCACTCACTCAATCACCTCAGCAGTTCGGTCCCTTTTCTGTTTGATTATTAGTCTCACCTGGTTCTTGACCTGTCGCCCTCAGAGTTCAGACCTACAGAGGTGGGGTGCACTGTCGGTGGCCTGTCACCCAGGTTGTCGGTGGTATCTCTCCCTCTGCCTCCCCTTTGGACATGCATTGTTGCTGGTGAGTCAGCTGGCAGCAGTGTACCATACTATTGCGTGTTTACTAATCCCCTCTTAGCTTCCAGGCTAAACTAAAATTATAAACTAACAGAAGCAGGATAGAAGCAAGAAATCATCAGTAGCCCCTCAACTTAACGAAGACTGATATCAACCGCTCTGGTACAAGCAACTCTGATAAAGTACGACACTGCTGCTTCTCTGGGAAGTCAGCACCAACAGAAATGGGGACACTCTCTGATATGAGTGCTGGAATTCTCAGCCGTTTTACTCTACAGGCTAAGTTTCTTGTTATAATTCTAATGCTCTGTTCTTTCATTTGTATTCTGTCTCACTCTACTGCATATTGTAGATCGTCAGCTTTCATAGAACCAGGGTCTCAGTTACAGTCCTTCTGTTTGTTGACTAGACACACTTTTTGCATCATCTTTCGGTTTTTGACGGCGTTTAGAACACATCCTGTTTTCTCGATCGTTACTTGCCTCCGTATTGGCTGCTAAACTAAAATTATAAATTAACATCCGTTCCACCCCCTTGTGTGTATACTAACACCCCTAGATTCCCAGGAACAGGCATAATTATCTACGGAAATCAAAGCCAAACAGACAGACAGCTACTCAGCCATAATGCAGGACAACATATAACAATATACACATAATATAGCAATGACCCTATATAAAATTCTGTAAAAATGGTACAAATTTAGAAACTGAGGTAAAAATAAAAATAAAACCCTTTGTAATAATATATATAAAAACCACTAAATCACATCACAACAAAAAGTAGTTTAGACCCCCATCCAACTAGAGCACTCCATGACCTTTTAGGGTTTAAGAGTGTTGATCAGGTTAAGGTCCAAATCACTTATTGCCGTGGGTGGAAGGGTTCTGGTACCTCTGTACCCCCTGATAGAGATTATACAGGTTCTGAGTAGATCAAAACGCAGTCTGCGTCTGACAAATGACATCACATCACAATACCGTTGGCCTTTCTTTAGGCTGATCTTTTCAGCGAGATGTTTTAGAAACTGTGAAGCCTCAGTTGCCATTCCTCCTGTAGTACTGAACACCAGTGGCGTGAAGGTAGCCTTTTCAACATTGAGGACTCTGTCATTGTACTCACGTTTTTTGCTTTTCTCGTGAGATTGGTACATCTGTGAGATGCTCTTGTCACTGTTGGACTGGGCTTGAGGGTGAAGTACCCTTACATCTGTGAATGCCCTGTCCAGCGGCGACCAAAACGATCTCGCACTGATGTCCAGTCTTGCACCATCCTGTCTATTTGTTCCATTAGATAGTTCAAGTGTGTGAGGAACGGAGAGAAGCTGGGGTTCTGTTTCAACGTCTTTGCAAACAGTGGTTAGGAGTTCAGCTATTGTATCTCTTAGTGAATTGTGTCTAAGTGAAACGTAGCCTCCGATTTTGCAGGTTAGAGTATGGTTGATATGATTTTGATTTCCACATACACATAGGGAACTTCTGTTAGCTGTAGACAGTGTAAGATTATATCTGAGTGAGAGGGCATCAAAGAATTCTTGTTTGTTAAGGACGTACCCACATGCTTTTAGAGGGAGTGTGGATAACCAAATGGATGCTCCTTTTTCACTAAGGAGTTCTAATTGCCTTTGTGTTGATGGGGATACCTCATTCATAATAGTTTCACGTTGGTGTTTGTAAAGCTCTTCCTTACGCTTCTTTACTTCACTTATGATGTCATGCTGCAGTTCTTCGTTTAGTTGGAAAGTAGTAAGCTGTTGAAAAACTGCTTCTGTGAGCTGTTTTGTAGCATTTACTGAGTTAGTGTACTCCATCTCTGCTGTTGATGTGCAGTCTGGAATGCTCAGCCCGCCCATTCTTGCAGGAAGTGAAGCTATTTTTCTGATTTGATCAGGCACAAAACTTTTGCCCATAATGGCTGGTATAAAGTCTTCCTTGACACAATATTCCAAGTGTTTCAGATGGTCGGAAATCCCTGGGGTTGTACGGCAAACAAAATTCCATCTTTTGGAGGTTCCGTAGATGAAAGCGGAGTAGGCTAGCTGGGGTTCGTTTGCAGCTATTTCGACGAGTCCAAGAATGTCTGCTTTCCAACTTTCGGTCTCCTTTAGTATGAACTCTTTTACCCCTTCTTCTGATCCAATATATGACCCAAGATAACGGTGGCCTTTGGTAGTGATCTGAACATCTGGAAAGAGTTCCTTAGCTTTGGTTGCATGCTCTGGTTTCACTATCAACCATGTCTTGCTGGGTTTTGGGTAATACCCATACATGGGACCATGATCTTTAAGGTCCTCCCACCATTTCGTGAGTTGATCAAGTTTACCCCCTGCTGCTGAGTCGTCAGCATACCAAACTTGTTTGGGATAAGGCATTTGGAAAACTATCAAACATGCTTCAAACTTACCTGGAAAAATAAGTAGCTCTTCCCCAAGCAACTTAAATGTTAACGGAGTTAACCTGCATTTTGCCACAGTTGGTACAATAATACAAGAATCGATTAAGGAAAAGGATTCAGACGACTTCCTAGAATATATGCCGCCTCCAACAGAGTGTAAACTCTCTGTATTCGAAGAGGTGACTGTTGAACAAGTAAAAGAATATATACTCAGTATACCATCAGATAAATCGATTAACGATATCATGCCCATTAAAATATATAAGTATATTATTCCCCAAATCATCGATCCAGTAGCTCATATTATAAACCTTAGTATGAAAAGTGGAACAATGCCGTTGGCATGTAAAATTGCATCAGTCACTCCAATTCTTAAAACTGGTGACCCTAATGATCCAAATAACTACCGGCCAATATCCATACTCCCCCTACTTGGAAAATGCATAGAATATTTTGTTAACCAACAGCTTACAGACTATGTTGAAACAAATAAACTGCTTACCAACCATCAGTATGGTTTTAGAAAAGATCATTCCACCACTTTTTTAATGCTTAATCTGTTTGATAAAATATTTACGTCTAAGGAATCACAGAAGAAACCTGCAATTGTATTCTTAGATATCAAAAAGGCCTTTGACACAGTAAGCCATAATATTTTATTAAAAAAACTTAAGTATTATGGAGTTGATGGCTTTGTCATAGAGTGGTTCAAAAGCTACCTGGGGGACAGAAAGCAACACACCAAAATACGTGGTAATGTAAGCACATCACTCCCTGTTAAAACAGGTGTGCCACAGGGTAGCATATTAGGACCAATTCTATTTAGTTTATTCATAAATGATCTCAGTAGAAATTGCACACAATCTACTGTTTACTTATTTGCAGATGACAGTGCACTATATTTTGATAACATTTCCCGAGGCATATATGAGAATGTAATTAAGGATATGAAAATTGTGTATGAATGGCTTAGAATCAACAAGCTGAGACTAAATGCTGCAAAATCTTCATTCATTGTATTTGATAGATCACCTAATCTGGACACGTTGTCAATCCCTCTGGATTTGGAAAAAGAATGCCTATTTATAGAAGAAACTAAATCTCAAAAATATTTAGGTCTCATGATAGACAATTTTTTGAACTTTCATGACCATATTGATTATGTGAAATCAAAAATTGCTAAAAGAATAGGGGCACTATACAGGTCGAAAAATCTTCTTCCACTGAAATATAGAAAAATGTTTGTAAATGCTCTTATGCTCCCCCAATTTGACTACCTGGATATAATATGGTGCAGGGCTGCCAAAACCAAACTTAATTCTCTTGATATATTATACAAGAAAGTAGCAAAAATTGCTCTGGATGTTCATTGGCAGGAACCATCAGTAAATGTATATCGAAATATGAAGTGGTTACCCTTACACTTAAGAAGACAACTCCATCTGTCAACGTATATGTATAAAATTCTTAATGAGGCTGCACCATCATCATTCACAGATAAATTTTCTTATGTATCCGGAGGATCACGTGATGCTGAGAGGTGCAACCTTTATATTCACAAATCCAGAACACACAAAACCTTTACATATTTAGGTGCAAAATGTTGGAATACAATTCCAGAGAACATAAGGACTATAGAATGTAGTGTAAAATTCTCACAATGTATGAAATCTAAATTTATGTCAGATGTAATTCAAGGAGTCTCATCCTATGAAATAAACAATAGTTTCGACTATTTCTACACTCTAGCTAAGTGACAACTGAAACAAATTTTATGGGGCTGGAGTTTTTGTCGGGTGGAAAGGCCCCCTGTGTTATATATGACCTAGGTATTTCCAGAAGTATAGAACTTTAAACATCTCCTTTATTCGTTCCCATTTTTTATCATTGCCAATCTATTATTGTTCTATACTTCTCTGTATATAACTGTAAATAACATTACTAACGTTATCCCAAAGTGGGCATCTATGTAATCTTAATTGTTACCTTCATGCCCACAGTTCACTGTTAAATCATATCTTATTTTATCACTCATTATTTTATTACTCATTATGTTTACATACTATATCCTTATGTCCCTAGAAGGGTGTTCTGCTAACAGTTTTCGACTGACTTGAATGTCCTGCACAGCAGATTGAAGCTTCTTAAATTATTTTTATTCTTATTGTATTGCTGTGTAAATTTGATTCTAATTCTAATAATTCTAATTCTAATAAGTGTTGGGTTCCCTGTCTGATTCTGGTTCTGTTTCAGGTTCTGTCTGTTTAACCTGGACTTCTCTGAGCAGAGGCATTAGGCTCAGTGCATACCATCCGAGTGCACAGGTATCTCCCTGTGTAGTTCCTTCCTGTGATTGTAAGTGGTCATCACTGTTGGAAATGAATAGGTTAGCTTCTTGTCTGTATGTATTTAGGATGTAAGTGAATAGCTCTGGACAGGTGTATCGAAGATTCCTAAGGGCTGTGTTGCGATTTAATGCATTGAAGGCGTTTTCAGCATCAACAAGCAGGATCGCTTCTGTGGATTCCTCTTCAAAGATCTTTCTGACTGCATGAATGGCCGCTTCCACTCCTCCTTGTAAGCCACCACACAGTTGCATGGGTGCTGTGTTCATGATAATGTCCTGTTTCAATGTGGTCATCACTGCTTTTCCGACTATTCTTCTAAGGACTTCACCAATCCCAATGGGTCTAACCCCTGGGTCTTTATCAAGGGGGATGAGGCGACCTGCTATGTATGTTTTCAGGTGATCGGGCTGTATCTTTTGGCAACACAGCTTTCTGGCCAAAACTGCAACTGCTTCTTTTAGAAGTTCAGGCTTTTTCTTAAACTGCTTAGAGCAGAGAATATGCTGCCATGTCTCTGCATCAGTTCCTGAGGGCCCACCAGATCCACTGAGGTCTCTTGCAACCTTTTCAATTCTGATGGAATCAATGGAATCAAATATGACGTTGTCTACTTCTTCAATGGGTCCCTTCATCAGACTAGATTCGAGTGATGGGCTGCTTTCAGGGTGTTTCTTTATGAGTTCCTGTATGACAGTAGGGCTTGTGTCCAGGAGTTTACTTCTCTGGCTCCCATTCCATCTTAAGGCTGCGGATACTTTTCCTAGTAACATGAGTCGTGTAAAGACTTTGTTGTGATGTCCAGGGCTGTACTTAGATTTGAGTAGGCGATCTTGTATTGATTTACATTCCCTAGCGAGCTTCTCTATTTCGCCATCTTTCCATAGTTGGAGTCTTCTTTCCAGGTGTGCTACATGGTCTTTGGCTTTAGAGGATTTGGAGGGCTTCTGGAGCAGGAGGGGAAAATTATAAGCGTCATAGTAATTGCATTACATTTGCTGCTTCTACAGATCACAAAACTTTTGTCACCTAGATACTTTCCTTGATTATATGACTGAATGTATGATGAAACTTCAAGGTAAGAAAGTAATATGGATTGGCGATGTTAATGTTAACCAAAACTCTTTATCTGATCTAGATTATAAAAAGTTAGATATAACAATGAAGCTCTTTGGAATGATACAGACTGTTACAGGAATTACTAGAGTTGCAAACTTAGATGGTAGGATAACGCAGAGCACAATAGATGTTGTCATGACTAACTGTTACTCTAATTTCATAGAGTGTAAAGTACTTGATGATAGAATAGGAGATCACCAAGCTCTCAAATGTGTTCTCGACTTTAAAGTAAGTAAAGCTAGTAAATTCCAGAAGGTTCTTATCAGAGACCACTCCTTAAACAATCTGAAAGCCTTAAGCTATTTTCTGGGATCCTGCAGCAACTACAGTAATATTCTAAGCTGTACTAATGTAGACCATGCCCTAGATGGACTTAATCATCACATCCAGGAATGGTATGATAATTACTGTCCACCTAAACAGATAAAATGTAATAGTAACTTTCTCTGTAATCCCTCTAAAGAACTGTTGGCAGAAATACGGAAGAAGAAGATGCTTTTCAGAAAGTATAAAAAGTGTTTAGGACAATTAAACAAATTCAAGTGTAATTGTATTAATGGAATATGTAAATGCAGAAAAAGTGAACTACATAAGAAATGCTCTACTTCGTGGGATAACTATCGTCCCCAAAGAAACTATGTGACAAAATTATCCAAAGAAAACAGACGTACAAATATTGTTCAGGACCTTACTGTGAAAAGTGCAAAAAACGATTTAAAAGGCATTTGGAAAACTATCAAACATGCTTCAAACTTACCTGGAAAAATAAGTAGCTCTTCCCCAAGCAACTTAAATGTTAACGGAGTTAACCTGCATTTTGCCACAGTTGGTACAATAATACAAGAATCGATTAAGGAAAAGGATTCAGACGACTTCCTAGAATATATGCCGCCTCCAACAGAGTGTAAACTCTCTGTATTCGAAGAGGTGACTGTTGAACAAGTAAAAGAATATATACTCAGTATACCATCAGATAAATCGATTAACGATATCATGCCCATTAAAATATATAAGTATATTATTCCCCAAATCATCGATCCAGTAGCTCATATTATAAACCTTAGTATGAAAAGTGGAACAATGCCGTTGGCATGTAAAATTGCATCAGTCACTCCAATTCTTAAAACTGGTGACCCTAATGATCCAAATAACTACCGGCCAATATCCATACTCCCCCTACTTGGAAAATGCATAGAATATTTTGTTAACCAACAGCTTACAGAGTATGTTGAAACAAATAAACTGCTTACCAACCATCAGTATGGTTTTAGAAAAGATCATTCCACCACTTTTCTAATGCTTAATCTATTTGATAAAATATTTACGTCTAAGGAATCACAAAAGAAACCTGCAATTGTATTCTTAGATATCAAAAAGGCCTTTGACACAGTAAGCCATAATATTTTATTAAAAAAACTTAAGTATTATGGAGTTGATGGCTTTGTCATAAAGTGGTTCAAAAGCTACCTGGGGGACAGAAAGCAACACACCAAAATACGTGGTAATGTAAGCACATCACTCCCTGTTAAAACAGGTGTGCCACAGGGTAGCATATTAGGACCAATTCTATTTAGTTTATTCATAAATGATCTCAGTAGAAATTGCACACAATCTACTGTTTACTTATTTGCAGATGACAGTGCACTATATTTTGATAACATTTCCCGAGGCATATATGAGAATGTAATTAAGGATATGAAAATTGTGTATGAATGGCTTAGAATCAACAAGCTGAGACTAAATGCTGCAAAATCTTCATTCATTGTATTTGATAGATCACCTAATCTGGACACGTTGTCAATCCCTCTGGATTTGGAAAAAGAATGCCTATTTATAGAAGAAACTAAATCTCAAAAATATTTAGGTCTCATGATAGACAATTTATTGAACTTTCATGACCATATTGATTATGTGAAATCAAAAATTGCTAAAAGAATAGGGGCATTATACAGGTCGAAAAATCTTCTTCCACTGAAATATAGAAAAATGTTTGTAAATGCTCTTATGCTCCCCCAATTTGACTACCTGGATATAATATGGTGCAGGGCTGCCAAAACCAAACTTAATTCTCTTGATATATTATACAAGAAAGTAGCAAAAATCGCTCTGGATGTTCATTGGCAGGAACCATCAGTAAATGTATATCGAAATATGAAGTGGTTACCCTTACACTTAAGAAGACAACTCCATCTGTCAACGTATATGTATAAAATTCTTAATGAGGCTGCACCATCATCATTCACAGATAAATTTTCTTATGTATCCGGAGGATCACGTGATGCTGAGAGGTGCAACCTTTATATTCACAAATCCAGAACACACAAAACCTTTACATATTTAGGTGCAAAATGTTGGAATACAATTCCAGAGAACATAAGGACTATAGAATGTAGTGTAAAATTCTCACAATGTATGAAATCTAAATTTATGTCAGATGTAATTCAAGGAGTCTCATCCTATGAAATAAACAATAGTTTCGACTATTTCTACACTCTAGCTATGTGACAACTGAAACAAATTTTATGGTGCTGGAGTTTTTGTCGGGTGGAAAGGCCCCCTGCGTTATATATGACCTAGGTATTTCCAGAAGTATAGAACTTTAAACATCTCCTTTATTCGTTCCCATTTGTTATCATTGCCAATCTATTATTGTTCTATACTTCTCTGTATATAACTGTAAATAACATTACTAACGTAATCCCAAAGTGGGCATCTATGTAATCTTAATTGTTACCTTCATGCCCACAGTTCACTGTTAAATCATATCTTATTTTATCACTCATTAATTTATTACTCATTATGTTTTACATACTATATCCTTATGTCCCTAGAAGGGTGTTCTGCTAACAGTTTTCGACTGACTTGAATGTCCTGCACAGCAGATTGAAGCTTCTTAAATTATTTTTATTCTTATTGTATTGCTGTGTAAATTTGATTCTAATTCTAATTCTAATTGCAACACTCTCCAGGTTAGAGCCACTGTTAAAGAGATTGATGGTATTGGCAACTTCCTCAATAAAACTCTCTCCTATCTTGCCTTTCGGTACCTTAAACATGTTCTTCTTCCAAAGGACTACCCTCTTGTAGATAGAGTCTACAGCTGGCCTTATCTGTAAACCTTTTAGGACTCCCCATTTTGCATTGTTGATCGATGCGATGACTGCATCCGGGGGAGGTAAAGTGGATGTAGTAAGGCGTTGTTTTTCACAGTTACCACATACAAATGCTATGTCAAACTTTTCATCTTGGAGGTGTTTGTATTCTTTGGTGTTGATTTCCTAACAAATGGGATGGTGCCAAACATTGCACTGTTCACAAAGGAGCCCATCTTGTTCAGCAAGAACACCTAGGTGGCATGTTGGACAGATATCTTCTTGGGTGCTGTGGTCTGTGTTAGGAGCTTGGATTTCTTGTGCTCTTTTGTGAATGTGGATAGGGAGAGCATGCTTTTCACTTAAGGAGGTGGGATTTTGAGATTTACGGCTTCTAGGAGGGGGTATAGGAGCGGTAAGTGTGGATTCTAACTGGGGAACTGTTTTAGATCTGGTGTTCATTACCAACCCAAAAACGGGGACCACTACTGTTTTCCGAGTCGATTACCAGCAGGAGCTGTAGCTTACCGCCAACAGTCCCTACTGGATGCGGGTCTCCTTAACAGTAGTGGATCCAAATTTGGGATCTGATGGAGTAATCTCGACACCAGAGGGTTTTACAGAATATTAAGGTAAGATTAGTGTCACAAATATATCACAAATATATTGGCTTTTCATATATTTTGAATCCGTCACTGTTTACAAAGCAATTTCTATTTAAATTATTATCATAGTGTACCACTGTCTCCGTAATGAAACAGGTGTATGATTTGCTAACAGTGTCTGGAAGGAACTATTGTTCTACACTAAATGAATTATACGTCAGATAAAACAATGCCTTTGGGGTCGATATCTCACAAGTCTGGAAATTTGATCCCGCTAACAGGCCTTGTCAGTCCAATTATGGTAGTGCACTTTGATTAATTGAACACCTGGGGTCAACCAATCAGACACAGCTTTTTGACCCACGTGATATGCTCCTTGGTCACGTGACAGGTTTCAACAGCCAACTAGACACTGTTCTGCAGCTCACGTGACGGTTTTAAACCAATCAGAAGGTCGAGCAGAATATATACTGTTTCGGGGTGAGATTCAACCCTGATATACTATTGTAGCGCGATGCACTACTGGGTCGCGCGCGCATCAAATAATGCTTCTCGCAACCACAATCTTCGGTAGATCGGCGAGATGCACCACTGTGCCTCACCGAGCTGCGAAGGATTGACATCGTGAATCAAATATACTACAATTGTTATAATGGACTAGCCCATTGCAAATGTGGAATTACCGGTGCAATACACCATTGCAATGTGTATTTGGTATTAAGCTGGTTGGGCGACGCTCAACCTATCATTCTGCATTCCCGAATATTTTAGTCAGTGTCATGTAATAAAGGACCGAGCATAAATTTTTTGTAGCGCTATGCGTTACTGTGCCGCGCCGCGCACTCAATGAGGCTCCTCACAGATCTCTCTAAATCGGCGAAATGCGCTACTGTGCCGCGCCGAGCTGCGATGCAGATGGATTAACATCATCAATTAAATAAATTTGGTACTAAAAGTTTTCTAAAAATGTAAATAAAACAATTTCACTTTGTACATTGTAGCAATTTTTTAAAACCTAAACACAAAGGTCCCCTATATGTAGCGAGATGCGTTACTGGGCCGTGCCGCGCACACAATTACATGGTTCTCGTAGTTAGATAGGCAACATGCGCTACTGTGCCGAGCTAAGTCCTACGATCGAAAAGTTGACATCGTCAATTAAGTTTCCTTTTGTTGCTTGTGTGAAATTTTTAACAAATTTTTGAAAAATTTATTTCAAAATATTCGATATTTAATATAAAAAGATATTTGTAGCACGATGCGTTACTGTGCCGCGCCGCGCACTCAATGAGGCTTCTCACGGCGAAATGCGCTACTGTGCCGCGCCGAGCTGCGATGAATTGACATCGTCAATTAAACATAATATAAATACTTGTATCACGTGGTGACCCTCACTGTTGCTTCACTGTAGAGTTTTTACGATACAGGGAGAGCCTTGCTCTAACCAGAGCCCTCTCGCTTGCAGTAGCGCGCGACCGCCGAAACAAGGGATTTTACTAATTCACTCGCCAGCGCGCTATCACGTGTTTTAATGCCGTGATTTCATTGGTCACCTCTATAGCGCGCATTATTTGTGACAGCATAGTTGTTTTTACACAATTTGTCCACCGCGCGTGCAATAAACTCAATCTTAGCTCCGATTTGTGACCGAAATCAGAAATGGGCCATAATATGGTTTAAGAAACGCATTGCCTGTAATTAGCTAATTGAATTATCAATTATAGGCACTATATAAGGTTGCACGAATTCACGAATTATCAATAACATTGCAATAACATTATTCCTGCAAGTTTTGATTCAATTTCATTTAAGGTTTGCTTGATTCAATTTCATTTAAGGTTTGTTTTCAGTTTTGCATCGCGAACAGATACCACAATTTGAAGTTGTTACACGGCCAAGGATTAATCTCACAATTGTTTAGATTTGTAGCTTTGTTTATCAACGATGATATTTATGAAAGGGCAATTGAAATTGAGATCGATTTGCCTCTTAAACGACAAACGTGCCTCCAACTGTTAAATAGATCAAAATTCTACATTCTACCAGATTCTTATCTACCTAGATTCTACCTAGATTCTACCATAATAGTCGATATATTATATACCAGAGCACGTCACATTTCAATAATTTTACAATATGTTATTATATCACTATCAGCTACATATGTTTGAAGGATTAAAACACTTTTATAACGGTGCTGTTAGAATAACAGAATATTTACGCTATAAAACAGTTGACATCAAGATTATTATAACATTACCAAACTAAGTAAAAAATAACAACTGTCCAATGTTCTAACCATGAACCTAACCAAAAATGTCAATAAATATCAGTCTATTCGAAATCAAAGTCATATCACTATGAAGACCCGTGTTTTAGCCCGGTAGGTGAGGTATGATAGAGCCGGCCAGCCCGGTAGGTGAGGTCCAGTAGTTGCCCGGAGGCGGCGTAGATTTGGGTGATGAGGTCTCCTCCTGCCACGTTGTACATTCCTTTGTGTGGTTCCTCCTTCTCTCCTTCCTCTTCTTGAATATCTGAGGGGGGAGGGTGATCACAGAGTAGAGAATATATAATAAGGGATATTTTATAGTAGTGCTGTCACGTGACAAAAATGAGCTCTCATTCGTTCATTACTTAGCCACGACTCGACCTGTCAAACGTTTTTGGAGAGGTTTATCAACTACTTCTATCTTACTCACTATAATTACTGCAGTATTAGATCAGGATCAGAGACGGGTTCAAGATTAGGATATTATATAAGCTACAGGAAAAGAAGATTATTTTTTATTAACGGCACTCTTCCCACAAACACCACATACCGGGAAGAACAAGTCTAATTTTAGAGGCTGGATTTCCGTCCAGCCACATCAGTGCTCTGAATAACAGCAGGACGTTGATGTTCCATGGTCTGGACTAGCGTACCAACTTTCCACCCAGGGATGGAACAAGAGCTCCAGCTCGTACAAACTGGTCTTGACCAGCGGACGACCAGGACAGAGGAGTTCTCTCAGTTTCTCTATCAGAAGGATTAGGTCCTCGTAGGAGCTGGAGCTAGCAGGGAGGTCTCCGTACATGCCTGACCATTATGTTGGTTAGAGAAATACACCAAACAATCATTAGTTTAACAAAACAATTATTACACCAAACAATTATTAATAAAGTGAGGTTATAACTGTAAACTTGTTACACCCCGCAATATCACTACCGTCCGGAACAATAATTATTTTAAGTTATGATTTTAAGTTTAACATAAGTTAATAGAATATTATTATATTAGTTACGATCGATTGTAACAAACCTGCAACATGACATTATTACAGGGAAGCCTCCGGGTGGGAGGACTCCGTACCATGGGGGACTTCTGGCAACGTTCCAGGAATTTCTTTTCTCTTCTCGAACCTTCTTCAAGTGCCGCTGAATCACTTTATTAAGTTTAACTTTAGTCCAAGAGTAGATTCATAGAAAAAGTAACCAGTAACTGATTCCAATTAAACTAAAAAGTCATTAGGTTCTAGTTACTAGTTATTAGTTACTAGTTACTACTTACTATAGTAGTTACCAGGATACATAAAGTTAGTTACCCTGTCCCCGCCAGAGAAATTTGCTTCCTCATTTCTTGATGAGATGAAATCTTGACAAGATCTTATCGCAATAATATATCTTTAGACTTAAATCGATGTTTAATATTTAAAGAGATTTATAAGTTTAACAGTGTAACAATGTCTAATTCTCTCCAAGACGCAGTTTACCGAGTAAAGTGAAAGCTTAACTTGCCTGGATAACAACGAAGTAGGGAGCATAACTGGTTGCCGGGGTAATTTCATTGGATCCTCCTGCCCGGACAGTAATAATGTCATGTTGCAGGTTTGTTACAATTAATGATTGAGTCAATTTTGTTTTGAGCCTACCGTGATCTTCATTGCATCTGCTACATTGATACCCAGTGTTATAACAGGTAGTAGATAAGCTTACTGATTGTTCAGTGTGCTTTGTGCCCCAGGTGTGCCCGAGGTGTGCCCGAGGTGTGCCCGAGTTTGTGCCCCAGGTGTGCCCGAGGTGTGCCCCAGATGTGCATCGGCAGATTACCGAGTTACCGAACACTATAAGGGCCCCCAATGTCAAACTAATGTCCGTTCAAACAAAGTTCTGTAATTAGGTACGTTTATCTTATAAGGTTTATCGGATCCCAGACTCTTTCACGTACACTCAGAAGACTGCTATGATAGTAAATTAACCATTAATATTCCCTATCCAGGATAGTTTAAAGAAGGTCAGAATTTAGTCCCTCCCCTCTAAAGCTTAGTCAAGATAAAGGTTCATCAATAGGCAGATACTGAATAACTGAATAACTGAATAATATATCTAATACTAGAAGCTCTTGCACTCACAAGACTTCTTACAGCTGACCCGGATTAACCGACCTTACATCTTATCATACATCAACAGTTATACTAGTACTATAAAAATAGTTGCTTGCGTGAAAAGAATAAACAAAACACCTCTCAATATTATCTTATTATTATGTCGTTAGTTATGTTCAATAGCTGATATTTAACTTCTGGTTTTTATAAGAATCAATTGAACAGGGAGTCACTAGAAAGACGGCTATAAAATCTAGAATCTTACCTTAATCTTTTATATTCTGTGCTGAATATTCCCGGAGGAGGGCAGATTCGTCTTGGTCTCTTACAAACTTTCTTCTCATCGTTAGGTGATGCTGCTACCTAGGATGTCTGAGTGATGGTATTTGTTTGAAATTTCTAACGATGGTAACATGAGTATGTAAAATACTAACAGCTGAGCTTGTTTAAAATCTTGTTGAACTGGAAAATATAACCAATATAACAATTCTTTGATCTAAATAATCAGAATGTTTAATGAATAAAGTACGTACCTTATAAGCGTGTTATATGACGGATTTGATATTATCATTCGTCTCCCATCAGTGAAAAAGACTCTGAAATTAAGAGTGATTTAGATTGTACCATGATAATTTGTATCGTTATAATAAAGTGATAGTAGCAAGGAGTATACAGAAATTATATTATGTTCTCGACTAAACCTATTTATCTATTATCAATAAAAACTTTCATTAAAACTGTGAATACAAATTATGGTGGTTTTAGATTTGAAATGCAAATGAACTTTGATGTGATTGCTTTGACATGACGATGATCGCTCACTATGTATGATATCAGATATGTTGTTCGTTTCTAGTTCCGAAGAAGTTGCGGTAGTCCGTAGGTTGCTGATAGTTACAATCCTTTTCTTCTCCATAGCTCACATTTTCTTCCACTGAATGAGGGATTAATATAAATGACAAGATCGTGAAATCACGGTACAAACCTATTTTTCTTAAACACATTGAACATAATTTTAATATCCAAACAGATAAAAATACTTCAGTCAGTTGAATCGCTCCAAGGTTTCAAAATTATCTTTCTTGACTGCATCCAGAAGTTGTAAAACTGCAATTAGAA